TGGCTTGGTTATGTGATTCTGTTGTCATAGTTTTGTATTCTGTGTTCGAAGGAGAGTTCAAGATTCGCCCTGACGAAAAGACTGAGGCATCTACCTACACCGCCAAGAAAGTCGGGATGATTGCAGGCGGAACTGGTATCACTCCAATGTACCAGCTAATAAAGCAGGTGTTCAAGGATCCCAAGGACAAGACTGAGTTGTTTCTGCTCTTTGCCAACCAGGTGAGGGAAAGTCAAACCTATGGCTCCACAAGTCCCCATGTTTATGCTGAATTTCTATAAACTTTGTCGGGTTCTCTGTCATATGCAGCTGTGTACTCTGTCTGTAAAACAATAATTTTTGTTAAGGATTTATTTTTATTGGATTCTTTGGTTCTCTAATTCCATGAATTTATATGTCCACAAAATATTAAACAGATAAAAGCTGACACAGGGTATGGTGGGTTTTGTGATAAAGGATCAACCACAAGATCAAATGCCAATGAAAATGTATTTTCTTGGTCTGCCCCTACTGAAGTTACAGGAGGACTCCAAGGCCATCGCTGTCAGCATCATCTTGTCAGGGAAATATCTTTAATCTCTTGCTTACAACCTCAATAATTTTATATCTACTTCCCTGGGTATAAAAGATATTTGCAATGAAATTTAGTCTTATATATAGTTACTGCAACTTTTCCATACAAAGAGGTATGGCTCTGTGCTCATTGGATATCATTGTACAAAAGGAAATCTCATATAGACGTGTTTCGTCAAGATGATTTTTATCACATCATCAAATCTTTTCGTAATCATTGCGGAAATATTTTAACCATATCAAATATGAAGTCCCCATTTCAATTTTGACAGCACAATGTATTCTGTTAGTATGTTAGTGTCAAAGGTCATATAACATATGTTCATGAATACAAAAACATTAAATTGGGATAAAGCTCTGAACAACATGAGTCATGTGATATATATTTTTATCTAGCTCCAGCAATGCACAATTTCTTGTCAATATACTGTGATTCTTTTAACAGGTTGGACATACAGTAAGGGATTTGTGAGTGCTGACATGATTAGAGACCACCTTCCTGGTCCAGAAGAAGGCACAATGATCCTCATGTGTGGACCTCCTCCCATGATTAACTTTGCATGTATCCCAAATCTGGAAAATCTTGGCTACCCCCCAGAAATGAGATTTGCATACTAAGTGTAAGATGATAGCAACCAAGCTGCAGTAGTATGCACTGAAGATGTCTACTCTATGTTAATTTGTTGATTGTTGATACTGGACTTCCATCTGTTCAAGGGAATCATTGGTTTTTTAACACTATTGACTCCAATTTTCCTTCCTTAGAAAATAGTCCTTTGTGGTAAATTTGCTCTGAAGACTTTGAGTAATTATTTGTAATTTTGGTTCAAAGTTATTTTTTACGATACTCAGTATGCAAAATGTCTTCCCTGAAATCAGAGTGAAGTTTAAACTAAAGCTGATTTTTTTTATCTTATTGCATGACACACTTTGCGATACAATATGGTATGAATTTCAGGAACAATTTAATACATTTAGTATTTCTGATTAAGTGTCAGATAAAAAGTGTTGGATATCAAGTTACCTTCTTTCTGTAAAAAAAAAAAAAAAAAGAAGGGAAATGTTGTAGCGAATTAAATGTGATGTCTGTTATTATATGCTACAGTAGAAAAGTGCTATTACATACAAGAATTGTCCATATCTTTGACTCAAACTTTTTTGTGACAAAAGAAATATATATTGTACAAAGAAAGAAATGCAATGTTCAAGCTTGGAATTTGATGAGAAAATAAAAACTCAGAGTGATATTTATTATGAGAGTCTGTTATCACTTTTTTTCTACACTTTGGTATTCTGTAATCGTGTTGATGGGATTTTTTTTATAGCTTTTACATATCAATCATATATACTTCTGGATAAAGCTGAAGGTACTATAATCCTATAGAGACTCATTATGGACCGTCATTTTCATTTTCTTTAAATGTCAACAGGAACATGTTATTAGAAATTTCAATAATCAAGGATTTTTTCAATCATAAAATAATAAAATCATATACATCCATATTGATATAGGTTGATTTAATTGAATATTTTTTGTACTTTTCTCTGTTCAGTGTGTTTGGCACAAGTACTTCAAAAGTGCATTTCATTTAGATATTTTTTATACTATTAAATAAGTCATTTGTAAAATGTATAAATACATGTTAGAATGAGGGATGGTATCTTCTATATATAAAGAGTATGTCTCTTTTCTGTGTGTGGATAGAGATGAGAATGAATGCTTAATAACAGCCTATACATATTGTACTAGAGTCTATACTTATGAATTAATATGAATAAACATTTGCCTTGCTTTCATATCAGATGTCTTATACTTATTTGTGTCACTTTCCAGGACATTCATTTCGTATAAATGAAATTTTTTTTTTTTTTTTTTGTAATTATCTTTTTATTTCCATTTTAATGTACAATACATATCATCATTATCATCATCACCACACAATCACCATCCTAATCATCATCATCATCCATCAACATCATCATCATCATCATCACAATTCAATATCATCCTCATCATCATCACACTTATCATCACTATAATCATCCTCATCACACCATCATTATGTATCAATCATCATTATCATCACATCACCTCCACTACCACCGCCAACTTCATCATCTCAAATCAAGATCATTGTCATCATCACCACAACCATCATCACCATCATAATCATCATCATCATCATCATCATTACAAATCAAGATCATCATCACCATTTCATTATTATCATGATCCTTATCACCACCACCACCATTATACCCTCATCATCATCACAATCATAATTCTCATTCACTACATCACTACCACACCATTTCACACCTCACAAAATTCAGTAATCTTAACAGCATACATCAACTCCAGGGAGCAGTAACCAAAGATTTCAAGAGATGGTGTATTTAATATCAGAAATGCTGATTAAAAAAAAAAAAGACACAGATGCTAACAAATTTTTCAGATATGTATTGCACATAATTTACTGGACAGAAAAAAACAGTGAGAAATAGGAAAAGCATTTAAGAAAAAAGATGAAAGAAATGGATGGAAGACTGAGAGGATAAGAATGGCCTTGTCAAGGGTTTGGAAACATCCTACTTTCGTATAAATATATATTATATATTTGAGGTAGAATTTATCAAAATCCGACTACATGTCAATTAACCTTTTCCATTTACTCCATTCTACATCAAACTTCTCCTTAACAGTATCGCCCTTACTAACAGCAATATATTTTTGGACTTTGTAATTGTCTTTAATGGAGTTTACCAATGAGTTTATATGCAAAGAATTAAGCAGAATAAATGCGTATAAATGAAATATTAATGCTTGATCATTGTCAAAAGAGAGAGTAGTCAAGTTCATGAATATTCATTGTATATGAATATGAAGAGAGAGGTCAAGTTCATGAATATCTAGGGTATAAATCTATGAAAAGAAGATAAGTTATTTAGTATGAAAAGAGAAGCCAAGTTCATGACATTTTTTTATGGTGCCAGGCATATTTATAATGAAAAAAGAGGTTAGGTTGATGAAAATTAATGGTATATATATATAGGGATTGGTCAAAAAAATATTCACAACTATTGATTATTTAAAAGAAGTCAGATTTTCATGAATATGAAACCAGGGGTATAATTTTAATGTATGTAAATGCAATAGGTCCCTATAGCTAGTATTACATATCAGCTTAATGTAATGACTTCAGAAGTTTTTGTCACCAACATGCCAAGGGACAGAGCTATACTGATGACCAAAAACAGGATTTTCCTGCCACTTCACAACCTATAGGGATAATTTTGGACTCGAGCTAAGGGGCCTTTGGCCACTCAAAAATGAAATTTATTTATATATACATATTTCTTTATTTTTATCAATTCACCAGAAATACCCTTCTTAATTCAAATAATGATTAAAATTTGCTGAAAATGGATCGTTACTCTTGGCTTCTAGGATTTTTCTTACTATTCCATTTCTTTTCTCAATACACAACAATGGTGAAGTGGGTTGACGCTTTGACTGTTCTTTTGACCAAAAGTTTCCAGGGATCCGGCAGTTTGATCTACAAACTGTATATAGGTGGTTGTAAAAATGTGACAATTCACAAGTGATAAAATAATGTTTAAGGAATGGTATGCAGCACAATTCCTTTGAAATATATAAATGCATCTTGGAGAATCATATATTGCTTAAAAGGTTGCTAAAAGCCCTTGGCAGACCCATCAGTATAAAAATATGCAGGTAAAACCATACACAATGTACAGAGAAAGTTTATTTCTATCATAGTTCTCTATACCATACTCACAATAAACAAACGAAGTTTTCCTTACAGTACCCTTAATTTATTCTCATAAATGATTTTTCATAGTAGAAAGTCAATAAGCAAACAACTTTAAACATAGATGGTTTTATTGATTAACAGGTTTTGGAATTCTGACCATATCAATGAAACATTAAATTTGTCCTCTGTACCTGTAAGGGAGCATTTCTGTCTTTACATTATCTACACTCTCTCAGCTTATCATTATACCTTCTATATTCTACTGCCAAAGTTTGGATACATATGTACAAATTCATTTAGTAAGGTAAAATTGTAAGTTTTCCAGATCAATACACAAAAATATTAGCCAGACAGGCATATAGGGGTAAATAAAAGTCGATCATTTGGAACAGACATAAATAATTTTGCAGTACAGTTTACTAAATTACATAAATAAAATACCCCTCAATCTGTAGGGTCAGTCAATTCCCCTTCATGTATTAGTATGTACAGGTGTCATTAAAGCAAACACCCCCATCAGCAGGATAGGGAACAGATTCCAATATATTATTCAAACAATTTGCAATATTTCATCAGAAAGATTGTAGAATGGTTCTTCTTCATCTGTTACTGTTGATTCCAGGCCAGATCTTTGTAAGTGACAGTGATTTCTGAGACTCAAATTTTGGAGTCCTGGCCTCGTGCTTTCTCTGTGTAATTCGTTCACATTCCGAGAATTTTTTTGTTTTATAACTGGACACACCAAAATTTTGGAAATGGTGCTATAGATATATTCACAGATTGTAAACCTATCAAATTTCTGAGTGATCATACAGAAAATTCAATTCCATCCAGTGTTTTAATTGCACATATTGAACTTTCCAGTAGAATTCATTTGAGTTTCCTTTCATAAACTGAAGTGTGTAAGTACTGCTACCCTCAAACCAAGGCACATTTCCCCTTCATTTGAATATTGATGACTTGTAAAACCGTAACTCTTCTATACTTTCTTTAATATCGTCCAGAGCTCGGTGAGATAATTTTTTCGTGGGTGCTTTTTGAATTCTTCAGGATACCATCTACGACAGAGTTCTTTGACGGTGCTGACATCCACAATTCGGTAATGGAGATGGGCCATAAACTGCGGCATATATTTATCCAGGAAGACTTTGTCAGCATGTACGGAGTTACCCGAAAGTATTGCACAGTTAGGAAGGGTGTGTTGTTGTATAAATTTTAACATTTCCTGTTCTGCTGATGCTAATGAAATGTTACTCTTCTTTACAGCCTCCGTGAGACCAGACTGTCCGTGATGATTTTTACACCAATCCCCCATGCCATCCAACACACTATCGGGTTGATTTATGATGAGATTTGGCCCTTCTGCTACAACATCTAAGCCGCCATTTGTGATCAAGCAAGCCATTTCTAAGATGTGATCTTTGCTTATGTCCAGCCCAGACATCTCTAAGTCAACCCATACTAAACGTTCTGTTTTGTTGTCCATCCTGTCTGTGAGTTTAGTAGGTGCTTGTTTAAATTTGGAGCCCTTTCAAACGTCTTAGTGACGTTGTCAGTGTAATGGCTATTTCCGATAAAATTTTGGCGGCGTGATGGTGCCATACGGCTCGAGGCTTAGCGCGAACAAAATTTTTTCCTTCTTCTTTTCTTCATTTTTTCCCCAAATGAATATTTTTTTCTTAATTCACAGTGTTTATATATCAAACGATATACAGTAAGATCTACGGGAAAATATCATATTTGGGTCGTACAGTTTATTTTAAAGTGTATTTCATTTTCTTCACAGATATAGATTCATCATTACGATTAAACGTATTTACAATTATGCCTTTCATTGTTGAAGAGACAGATATGTGAATAAGGCTCTCTCTTACTGGAAAATTTAGAACATTCTACGATGATCATTGAACCCCTTTGGATTGAGAAGTAGGTGAGCATATCAAATTCTAGGCTATCTGAAAGTTGTTGGTCTATATTGTATGATTTACCATTTAATCTTTTGTGATAATTTAACCATTTATGATTTTTAGAGTTTGTTTTATTTTATTTTATTTTGGATTATTGTGTCTTTCACCGGATGACCTTTTATGTGTTGACGGGCCGTTAAGATGATAATAATAATATTTAAAGACACAATGGTGACACAAGATCATATCTGCTGGATTTGTACCCTTAGAAACATTGTAGTAAAAGCTCTTCTTAAAATACATTATGTTAATTGTTGCCCTTCTAAATGGACATCCATGAATTGTTAGATTTGATCATATGGGCCTTAAGAATTTTTTTTTTATAATTTAAATCTCAAAATTGAATAGGAACTAGGAACCATGGGGAAGATAAATATTAAGTTTGAGAAATATTCCACCAGTGCTACTTAACACATAGAGATCAACTGTAAAACAATATTATACTTGTTTACTACACATGTAAGCGGCATATTGTGTAATGTTTGTGAATTAAGGGGGCCCTCAAAAGGGCTGGTCATTGAAAAAATTCATTTAAATTATGTAAGAGACTACTTAAACTAAGTAAATCTACATGTGACATCTTGATATATTTTGAACTTGGTCATTTACCATTTTATTGTATCTACAAAATACAGAATTAACAGGTATTGGTAAAAATTACGAGATTCTGTAAACAGTTTTTTGAATTGTGCATAAAAAAAGAGCATGGGAACCTGTTTTAACTACCTGTAGATAGGTGCATTATGTGAAAAATCAAGTGACTGGTATAGAATTTGGTAATATATGGTAATGCCAATTAACTTTAAATTTGAAGTTAAACTAAGAATTTTTCACAAAGAACAACAAAACTCCAGATGTTTAATGGAGTCCTCATCAAGATTTTATTTATACAAGCATATTGTAGATAACTTTTCTATACAGCATTATTTGACAAAATATACACAGAAGAATTTTAATAATTAATTCAACATGATTGCATCTGTCTTCACATTCCTTACAATAGAAACAGGCCAGTACCATACTGTCAATTGAGCTCAGAGATACTGTACAACTTGTAAATCAACTACTGAAGTAATTTTATTTTGACATGTGATACTTACAAAGATTTAAGACAATGTTTCATAAAAAGGTATGTACTATTAGAGAAATCTGTTTATGTTTAAATTTGTGTGAAAAATACCAAGGATTTGTGTCAAATACATGCAAGTAAACCTATTTTTTGAGTCAAAGAAGTTAAGAAATTGAGATCTTAATCCATTCTTCACTTTCTTTTCTTGTTTCTAGTATTTCATATATACATATTGTACCTTGTTTTTAATGTACACCTGTTATACTCATGGACTGTTTGGACAAAAGTTCATGAATGAATGATTTTTGTTTATGGACAGACTGTTGACTGCCAATGAACATTGATGAAAGGTGATTTGCCCATCATGTGATAAATATCAACTTTATTCATTTTACAACAATTGGGAAACAAGCTATCAGCTTATATTAATCATTCCGTTTAGCCAAGAAACTGCAGTAACTGGGAAAGCCCATGTGGTCAGGCAGGTGATTCCCATACATTTTCATGTCCACTCAGAGAATCAAACCCTGGACATCTGAATGCATTATACCACTACACAATCAGACCACCCTCATCTGATGTTGGTGGGCTAAATAACAGTGACCACCAGTCGATCAAAGGCTTCCACTTATGGGAGGTAAAATGTGCATGCTGAATTTGTAAAAGCCCATGTCTATGCTGACATTGTAATATTGCCATATCAAATGCTCGACCAAAATGTCCACTGTCTATAGAGGTCAAATTATTCCCCAAGATTTTCCAAGCACTGCATTTTAGTAAAATGTATATTAGCAAGCTACAATGGTCTTATAGATATACTGCATAACAGGAATTTTACGTCCCTGTTTAATTTTCACCCTTTTTCACCTATGAACAGGGAGTGTGAATTTAAGATGAGGCAAAAATTTATTACACTTATGTAACCCTGTTATGTAATCCTCTGAGAAAGAAACGACCATGGTGAGAATTTGTGTGTTATGGTACAATGTAGAAAATAACCTGGTGGGGTGAAAATATCCCGGTATTCAGTTGTTTTTCATTTTTCAGCTTTGTTTACATCTGATTACTCGGTTTTATGTTAACTGTGTGGTATTATGATACAGAAGTTGATCTGTTGACAATGTTCTTCTTGTTGTGTTGTCATGTAAACACAATATTCTCAGGAGTAGGAGAGAATTATACATTCTGTATTTGATTTATTACATGTAATATATATATATGTATAATGGTGTGTCTGCTGGGTTCATCATCTCCTGAACTGCAAGAGTAATTTTTGGGCAGATTCTCCTTGCTGTTGATAGTGGATACCTCACTGAAAAACATAAGGGAGGCCCATTATTTGCTATCTAGAGCAAATGGGGTTTTAAAGTGTGTCTTGCCCAAGGACACAACCCAGGTCAGGACCGAGTAACACAAATAACATGCGTAGGCAGCATTGTACCATGCACCTCTGCTCTTCACCTGAGGTTACATATGTAAATAGGGAAGACAGAAAGGCAATGAATTAATCCTTATCCTCGGCCGTATCTACACTGTAGCTCTGTCAGCAATAAAGAATAACTTTAAGTTCGTGCATTTTGTGGGGTCTTTTTATACTATAATTATTCTTTTATGCATAAAAAAAATAATAGCATAATCTATACTATCAACATAATGATGACTACTTATCACAGAAGTTTTAAAAAATCCAATGTTGAAGATATTCAGTTTCGTTTCACTGCTTCGATCACTGGATTAATGCTCTTTGTTTATGAATAAAGCAATAACACCATGGACATTTTAGACAAGGAGAAGCTACAGCCTTCTGATACATGGAATAACTTCATGGTTCCAACACACAGAAATAATTTCAGAGTGTTGTTACAAAGAATAACTCCAGTGTTCACATTCAGGGAATGTCTTCAGGGTCTGACACAGGGAACAATTTCAGGGTTCCGATTCATGTTTAGCCAGAGCTTCTGGCACAATGGTTCCTGCTGGTCCTTGGAAATGAAACCTGAAACAAAAGCATGGTTATGAACTTGGCCTGTAGTCTAAACACACATCTTGAAGTCACTAGACATCAGTAGACATTGTCAGTACTTTATATACACTCTACTTTAACAGAATTTCGGCTTAATAAGATATCTGATTTTGTGAAGGTGCATCTTCATCTGATAATAAAGATTAAAAAAGTTTTAAAAAAAGACTACAGAAGCTTTTATATCTTAATATCTGGATATTTTCAAACAATTGTAAAGAAATATTCTGACTAAAACAATGATTAAACTTTATACAACAATTAATTTCTGCATAATGGATGTTCCGTGAGCTCAAGTATGGACTTTGTCAACAAATAAACAAATAATAACTTATATGACGAATGAAGCTATTTATAATCTCTAAAATTCTTTACACTTCATAAAGGCATGATGATACTAACTGATCTGTTGAATAGAATGCCATTGCATTAGCATAAGATGCTTTACTGGTGATCAGTTTGCTCTTTCCTTGAAAGCAGGTCAAGGTCAATAGAAGATGAAACATTATAGGTCTCTACCCAAGGTAGCTACTTGTCAAATATAATCTGCCTCAGATTTTAATGAGCATTTATCCATAAAAGAAGCAGTATTCTTGCATGGGCTTTTTTCACAGGTTTGGGATGTGGCATTTTTGCCTCATTTTTGAAAGAAAATTGGTGAATTTGGAAGTGAACTTCGAAGAACAAATAGCAAACTTTGGGAATTTAGCCTAAATATAATTTCAGTTGGGAATAGGGCCCCCAGAAAAAGTCTTGTCAAACAATATAATCTTCCATGAATGTTAGATACTGAAGATCCTTTGAACACAAACATACTGATGTAGTGATCTCAATATGAAAGTATACTGACCCTAGACTTGTTGTGACATCAGTTTCCTCCATATTTATTTCAGCCACAGGAACACCACGGCTAGCTACTTCTGGAGCAAACATGGCCGCTGGGTAAACAACTGATGAGGTTCCCACCTGTTAAACAATGTGTAACAAGAAGGAGTAATGGGATATACCTTTCACCTGCTGGGATTTAAAAAGCATCATTTCGTTCTCTACCTGGACACTCTACCAACTAACTAAAAGAAATTCCCACCAGTTAACACTAGTAAGGTGACCTGTATTATCTGTTTCTACACTGCTCCATCCCCCAAAAAGACTTCAACCCCGAAGACAGCAACAACCCAAGTTCAATATACCAGGACTGTTGGGTCCCTAATAAAGTAGCTAATATACTTACCAACAAAGATAGCATTGTCAGAAAATTGTTCCACCTTCAGTTCTAGATATTTTCTATTTTTCTTTTCTGTTTGTTTATATTACTTAATTATATTCTTTATTCATTTGTTTACTTATTCAATTCAATACAACAGACCTGAGAGTCCAATCAAACAATTTGCTGTTTTATTGTGTTTATTGCCCCACAACAGCCAGGGTCATTTGAGGGCGGTTTTTTAACCTTAGGTTATGTACACCAATGCTTTTACTGCCTGAGCTATCAGGGCTCCATGCAGAAAACAAGGTTAGAGCATAACATAAGCATAAATAACTAAAACATTGATAGGTCATCAAGGGCCTCACTGTGTGGCTGAAAATCTGTCCCCTACCTACACATCCACCCTTAGACACACACACACCCCAGACTGACAGATTAAGTACACTCTGCCATAAAAGTTAGTCAAGAAAGACTGTTACAGAAAAAAATACTAACAAATACATTTGATCTTATTTTTCAAAATTATAATAACTGTGACCTTTGATCTCAGGACTTGAGATATAAAAATCAATATCCTAAGCAAGCACTTTTGGTACAGAAGAATTGTATGAAGTTTATTTATATTGGGCAAAGCTAACTCTAGTTATCACACAGAAACTGATTAAAACTAACAGTTACAATAACCTTTGTCCTTTGGACCTGAGTGGCAATTTATCTCAAACAAGCACATTTGGTTTATGAAGCATTGCATCAAGTTTGAGATAGATTGACTACAGCAAACTTGAGCTGTTCCATGAAATGGATTTTCCTTTACAGCAACAATAACCTCAACCTTTGACTTCTGGGTCTGAAAAGTATTCCCTGGCAAGCACTTTCAGTAAGAAAGCATTGTATTGAGTATGAGTTTGACTACCCCAAAGGAACCCAAGTTATATCACATAAACCAATTTTCTTCTTAGAGTAACAAGTATCGGGACCATTGATCCTGAGAAACTGAAAAGCAATCCAAAACAAGCTATTTTTGTAAGGAAGCATTGTATCAGGTTTGAGTTTGATCATTGCAGGAAACTGACTTTTCTATTTATAGTAACAATGACCTTGACCTTTGATCTTTGAAAATATAATGCAATCCAAAGCAAACACTTTCAGTCAGGAAGTACTGTCTGAAGCTTGGGTTAGACTGGTCAAAGCAAACTCTGTTTCTCGCAAGGAAACTGATTTTCTATTTATAGTAAGTGACCTTGACCCTTAACCTTGGGAGATAAAAAGCTACACAACAAAGCAAGCACTTCTTTCAAGGAGGCTTGGCATAAAGTATGATTGCCATTGGCACAACAGAATTAGAGATACTGTACAGAAACAAAAAAAAACTGGACAGACAGACAGATGGACAAGCTGATCACTATAGGGCACCTAATCTCGATTAGGAGCTCTAGTAATCAATAGGCAAAGACTAGAATATGAAATACATACAAATGTAAAATAGAATCAGTGTCATAAATATAATCTGTACATCAATCATTCAATCAGGACTTGAAAAATGAAATTCTATTTCTGAAAATTAAACATATATATTTCTGACCGAAAAAAAAATCCAAAAAGTGAAACATAGGACTGTTTGATTTTCAGATTCACTAAAGTTGTACCTTATATGTACTTACCACCAAACAAAGATCACATTCTCCAAGCTCCTTGTAGGCATTATGTAAAACAGTTGGGTCTAAAGATTCTCCAAACCAGACAACATGTGGCCGCAGTAGTCCTTTACAGCTCTCCTTCTCACACCTGCAGGACAACCATCACAAAACAGTATAAAAATCTCTCTTTAATAGAGTTATATCCATTTTGATTATCTTGCAATACATAGTACTGTAAGCAAACAAGTTCTAGTGGTCATTTTATTGCAGAACTTTTCCTGCTAGAGTTATTGCGCTGAAATATAATTACGCTACTTTCAGGTCCTATGTGTCATTCATACAGCAATTATTGAGAATGTGTGAATTCATCATCACATTTATTTGTTAACATCTGATATTGTGAGGTGTTATAAAAGCCAACACTAAAAGCATGAAACAACTGGATATTGTTTGGGGCACTATTCACCGAGGAAGGTTTTCCACTGGTATCCCAGCATCCTTTGCTTCAGGATTAGGTTCCCTATAAAAAAAAAAGATGGCTCAATAGTAATCAGAATAATGAAACTAACAGTTTCAATTAACAATTTAATTAAATACTTCAACTATATGCAGGTACTTTTTTATTTATCTCCCATTTATCTGTTTTATAACAGTAAAACACATACTCAAATGTATCAAGACATTACCATTGGGTTTCATTTCTTTAACAACACTAAAGCAAACCTTGTGTGAGGTAGACACACTTATCTTATCTTTATGTGAGATGGATGCATAATTGAAGAACACATACAATGTATTTGTAAAAGGAAGAAGTACCTCATAAGTGCTGATGAGAGGCTAAACCTCACTTAAAGAGTTTGTTATAAGCAGACATGCACTTAACTGTTTTTGTTCAAAAGACTCACGTTTGGGGAATTTGTTAGGGTGGACTTGTATTTGAGTTTGTGTAAGTGCAGAGTCAAATCAAACTTGTTTGTGTGGGGCAACTCACATTTTAATGTGTTTGTGAGAGAAAGACTTACAGTTAAAATGTTTGTGTGAGGCAGATTCACATTTCAAATGTTTGTGTGAGACAGATGCACATTTTAAAGAGTTTATGTGAAATAGACTCACAATTAAAGTGTTTCTAAGAGTCAGATTCACCATTATAGATGCATCTGCATGTGATGGACTCTAATGAAGAGTTCTAGCAACATTTAGTTCTAAAGTAAAGGGCGTGGCATTAAGTAAATGAGTGACACAAAGGACTAAATAAATAATCAAAGTGAATGGTCTCTTACAATGATCTTACAAGAAAACCTATTTTTTGAGTATTGGGAGACAGTTGTAGATTGTGCGAGATGCAGTAATGAGTCTGTGTCCTGTTAAATACATACCCCTTGCCTGCCAAAGACTCACAGATTGGACTGTCCCTGTTCACAGTAACCTCTGCACATTTTGTACACCTCACTTTAAACAGACTTCCTGAAAAAATCCAGATATTAGAATAAACATACATTTCTTGGCAGTCATATTTCCCTCTCCCTACTCTGATTACTTAGGACCACTGATGACAAGTTTGGTAGGAATTCAATGTTTTTAAAAGATAAACTGGAAATATCTACTCTTGCAGTTCACTCATGAAGTGTTTAAGAAGAATATATGATATGATTGATGTACTGCAAAACCATATATTTTTGTGGTATTCAAATTTTGTGTATTTTCCAAAAATGTGTATTTTCTTTGGCATGCAAAATCCACTAGTACCGTACCTGGTAATCCATGTCAAATGGACATAAAAACTTTAGAGTACCCATAAATTCAACGAACATAAATCTCCCACAAAAATTAATTCTTTCACAGTAGTTCAGGATCATGTGATATGAACATGATCTTATGACTGAACACATTATAGCCAGTGCATGTCAAAATATAGTGGGACTGTTCAACTAAGACAATATATCTCACCAACCGTGAAGTTCCAGGATGTTTTGGGTTCCTGCCTGGCGGTGAAGCTCATCAATGTTCTGGGTGATGACAATGACACGCCGATTCTGCTCTGCCAGCCTTTTCTCACATTCAGCTATAGCAATGTGGGCCTTTAATAATAGAAATATTAGTCAATCATGAGGATTTTCAGCTCCATTTGAAAAATTAAATCTTGAAGTAATTTCAGACTAACTTAACACTTAACGCAGTTTTTACACTGAATCTGTTCAAGGTCATAAGCTTTGATAAAAAATATTCCTGAAAAATATATGTCACTGGGTCATTTATTCTACCCTGTATATCGTAATGTATCTGCTCATTACTATATGTGTGTAAATAGTTACAGGGGGAGTCTTCTGTTTAGGTGTGTTACTAGTTACAGAGGGTGTCTTCTGTTTAGGTGTGTTACTAGTTACAGAGGGTGTCTTCTGTTTAGGTGTATAACTAGTTACCGAGGGTATCTTCTGTTTAGGTGTGTTACTAGTTAAAGAGGTTGTCTTCTGTTTGGGTGTGTTACTAGCTACAGAGGGTGTCTTCTGTTTAGGTGTGTTACTTGTTACAGAGGGTATCTTCTGTTTAGGTGTGTTACTAGTTACAGAGGGTATCTTCTGTTTAGGTGTATAACTAGTTACAGAGGGTATCTTCTGTTTAGGTGTGTTACTAGTTACAGAGGGTATCTTTTGTTTAGGTGTGTTACTTGTTACAGAGGGTATCTTCTGTTTAGGTGTGTTACTAGTTACAGAGGGTATCTTCTGTTTAGGTGTATAACTAGTTACAGAGGGTATCTTCTGTTTAGGTGTGTTACTAGTTACAGAGGGTGTCTTCTGTTTAGGTGTATAACTAGTTACAGAGGGTATCTTCTGTTTAGGTGTGTTACTAGTTACAGAGGTGTCTTCTGTTTAGGTGTGTTACTAGTTACAGAGGGTGTCTTCTGTTTCGGTGTATAACTAGTTACAGGGGGTGTCTTCTGTTTAGGAGTGTTACTAGTTACAGAGGGTATCTTCTGTTTAGGTGGTTACTAGTTACAGAGGGTGTCTTTTGTTTAGGTGTGTTACTAGTTACAGAGGGTATCTTCTGTTTAGGTGTGTTACTAGTTACAGAAAGGGTCCTTTGTTTACCTATATGTCTAATTATAGAGTTCATATGTGTCTGATAATTTTTACATCTATTTTTACCTTTTACCTGTTTTTCTAGTTATATACAGGTATGTCATAGTGTTAAGTGCATGCTATTTGCCTGTGTATTAGAGTTCTGTGAGCACAGCACACTTACCAGTAGCTAGGGTTTGTCAGCAGGACCTATGGGAATATGGGGGATCATATTTCCAAATACATGTAATGCTCTACCTCTAGTGTATGATAGTGATGAGACTCCACAGACAACAATACATAGGATGGAAGGATGAGAGTCTCTTGTTTTTTCCACCTGTCACATATAATCTTTAGACAATAAATGGATAACTCTCCTTAAAAGTCAGAGAAAAGAAAAAGAAGCATGTCCGCAACAATGTTAGATATTGTGAAAGGGACATAACTCCAAAGAACTATAGAGACAACCAAGGAGAGAAGTATTGAATATTTCTAGTGTTATTTACTTGGTTAAGATGTGTACTCATAACTTATGAAATACAATTTCAGTTCTACTTGTGGAATCAATATTAAAGAATCTTATATGAAAGTTCTGCCTTCAGATTTTTTCAAGTTTTACACAAGGCTCCTCAAGTTTAGTCTTCCTGATTTTTTGTTGAAAATTTTAATCAAAAGTCTTGAAATTATTGGTCATGAACCATGAACTAATTGGAACTTAACCCGCATATTATTACTTAGTAAAACTCCATACCAAATTACAGTTCTACATCTGTATCTGAGCAGAAACAAAACAATACAGAGGAAGGGACAAGGTTAACACTTGAAGCTGGAAACCATGAAAATGCAACAAGCTACCTTATGCTAAGTATATAAAATGGGATATTAGTTTTTGGGTCAATGTTTGTTAATACTTATTAATTTGTAAAAATTATAATGAAATCTGATCTGACAATGCCTGATTATTACATTCCCTGGTAGACAATATTATACAATTTTTAAGCTACAACAAAAAATCCCTTACTTCATTCCCTATAAACTGTCATTTGGTATGATTTACGAACTCACATGGCCCACCTACCCAATAAACAACCAGAGTCAGTTTGAGACAGGATCTCCATGTATTAGCCAATGGCTACTTCACTGAACAACATACTGGAGACTCGTTGCATGCCATCCATAGCAAACAGGGTAAAATGTCATGTCCAAGAATATAACCCTGTCAGAACAGACTTGTCCGTTTCTCTGCTGTCTGAGAAACACATACCAGCATATATGTAGGGAATGCTGAACTATGCACCTCAGATCTTCTCCTAAGGTTAGGCAAGTCAACATTCAAACCAACCGAGCTTCAATAGCCCTTCTGCTTATACATGTATATGAGAAAATTCTATAGATTGGTTTTTTCATATATGTATATTCTGGTTCACAAAAATTGTTTTCAGTTTGAAGAAAAAAAAAGTGCTATTGTCAATAACCAGTATACAACAAAGTGACAGTCTCCTGCTGTTTGTTTTGTATCACATACCATGTTGGGTTTCTTTGAGTTCATGACTTCTCGTCTATGATGATAAAACTCCCAAACCAGTGAGGGATCTGTGGCAAAGGCTTCTGGTGTAGCTAGTTGCTGTAATACAATGAGACATACAGATTCAAGTTTAAATAGCAGTGCAAAACAATTCCATGACATCATATTTAAAGTTTGGAAGATATCACTAAACAAGAGGCCCATGGGGCTGATCAGTCATCCAACTACAAAAATTTTCAGCAGGGAGAAGAGGATTTTTTTTCATTTTGAATGAAATCTTACGAAGAAGCTCTTTTCCATGATGCAGATGACAGTTTTGGTGAGGATTAGGTAACTGTAACAAGTGTTACCTATTTTTGACAGTAAAGTTAGACCTCAATCCAACTGGTGAAAGGTCACCTGACCACCTAAGACAGCATTGGAAGTGTACTAGAAGGATCAAACATCCCAGCTGAATGATGCAGTTTTATACATAATGAATTCATCTAAAAAATATGTTATTTATGCAATTACAACATTATCATACAAGTCCTACCTGGGCTTGCCATTTGCGCCAGAAACCACCAGCTCCGCGAAATGTTGGAACACCGCTCTCTGCGCTAACTCCTGCCCCAGTGAGTACCACTATGTGCTTGGCTTTGGCAAAATGTTCTCTGAATTCACTCATATTTGAGCTAGGTCGACCCTTTGGCTATCAAAAGTCAAAAGAAAAGGAAAGTTCATAATCATCAACTTACAGTAATTTCTGTATACCATTACAATTTATAACGTAGAAATTTTCCATTTGTTCCTGATAATTTAAATGTGCCATAATAAGGGATTTTTTTTTTTGGGAGGGGGGGGGGGGGTTTAACATACACTCCGAGACTTGCTACTTTTGTCTTCTTTCACCCTTATCACAGTACAGCTTTTATTTTGAGACCCTGATCACGTATTCTCTATAAATCTGGTCCATTTTATATGGATTCATTTCAGCACAGCATACATTTTTGCACCTGGGAATTTTTTGTCCAGGTAGAGTTATGATAAAATGTATAATGCAGTACCACTAATTATATGGATTGATTGTTCATTTTGTGGAAATCATTTAAGTACAGCTGTCAAAACCTGGATTGTTAATATCTTTAATTCATATTATAGAATATCTCACACCTCCTTGGATAAGACTCCTATTGTAAAAACATTTTTTGGTAATAGGCTGGATATTTTATGTATATGTAGACAATTATATGTTTTAGATGAACAATTTTATCATTTTCACTTACAACACTTGCATGCTTATATATGTTCTCTCTTTGAAATTGTAAGTATAGCATTTTGTACTTTGTTGATGTGACAAAATATTTTTGCTGAAGCAATTGACACATTAACCTTCCATTCAAGAATAAATTATCAGACATGGTACAGAGAAGAGCAGCTGATTTAGTCATTAAAAGATATTACAATATTTCTAGTGTCAGTGACATGCTGGGAGATCCCCATTGGCCAAGCTTGCTGCTGTAAATAAAAACCTCTAAAAGAAATAGCCATCATCTTGACTCTCTCGTCCTTTCTCCCATCACACGATCTACTGTAGAACTGACTGTTGGAAATACTCTTTCTTCCCTAGTGTAAAATACAGAGAGATAAGAAAATGTTTATATCTTGTTGCAAAGAAATTCCAATTACTAGTCTTGCTGTATTTATAAAACATTTTTCTCAAAAAGTAAATAACTAATTTTTTTAAATAAGCAGTAGTAAAGGGCTTTATAACTTTCAAATTGATTGCGTTACTTTTTTGTGATAAATAATTTCTGTTAACTTTTGCTATTAGTAAAACAAAATACATGTTTAACCCTTTCGGCGCCAAATATCTCTCACAATGTACAGCTCAGCGCCAAATATTTTCCGGAAAATATCCGAAAACAATGGCAAAAATTGTTGACTACAGTCACCTATGGTAGCCTGTCTGCATGTAGACTTTAGTTGCCTACGGCACCGAAAGGGTTAAGCTGTATACATTGCAAATACCATCCTTATAGTATGTGTCACTTTCTGTCTAAAATATGGAAATAATCATCTTTAACAAGATGACATTAAGAAGCTGAGTGATTATCTGATTGCCTCATTTAACTTTTGTGATATGTCACTTTAATTTATCACTAAGACTGTTTTTTCTGTTACAAAAATGAGATACACTTCTCATTAGCCGACAAAATGACTCTCATCAGGCTAGTCTGTGCTAAGTCCACAATAACTACAGCACAGATCTAGAGGCACAGGTAGATAACTTTAGATAAAGGAAGAAGAGGGAACTTGATTATATCATGGCTCAGTTAACAAGAAGTAACACCCGAGAAGTCACCACTGGACCTAGTTTCTTATCCTTATATTTATAAATATATATATATATACCCCTCTACTGGGAATGGAACAATCTTTCACCAGATCTAATTGTCACAGCCGGCTTTTTGAGGCTTCAAAACCAACATCCTAACTTCTACTTAATGTCTTCTCTTTTTTTTTTATCTTTTTCCTTGTATATTGCACACCCCATTAATATCCACATAATCTTAATTCAGTACATTGAAAGAAGTTTATTAAGGGTAGATGTAGATCCTGTGCATCTTTAGATGTTACAGGTGGCCATTTTACATGAGTACCTAATGTAAGACACCCGATTATAATTATGAGTATTAAAGTAATTGGCACAGTTCGACAATTTTCACTCCATTTGAAAAAAAAGTATTGTATTAATAATAGAAACATGTACCGTGGAAAACCCTAGAAGTGCCCCGAGTCTGTCAAACTCAGCAAAAATATCTTTCTTTGGTTCGCCAGCTCCTGCCATTATTGAACACGGAAGAAGTCGACGCAGGGAGTGTCTGCAGTTTGTCAAAATATTCATTCAATTGACTGTTCACCAACGCTACAAAATAAATTTTCACGAATTACACGCAAACAACATCACCATTAGTGAATGGTTTGAAAACTTGTGATTATATTAAAAGCCTTTTTCATACAAAAAGCGTTAGGATACGAACATTTCCCGATAAGCTGTTCCGGGAATCAGATGCTCAAAGTCACGTAGACTAAAAAAAATAGTGCAAGACATCGAGTGGGGCCGGAGCAACTGTTTTTACCACAAAATGTAAGAATCAGATATGCTTAATTGAGATACATGCACAGTGTGAACGATGTGATATTTTATTCTTGTTAACTGTACATATAATCATAGACCGTTCTTAAAGTTAGAAGTACTTTCAGCATACTTTTTCTATCGACGGCCCTACAAAACTTACGACAGGATGTTCACTTTGTATGTATAATAAAGGTTACGAAATAAGGACTAACCGTTCCGGAAAAGGAGCAAACATTAAATTAAGTAGATTCCCAGTACAGGATCATCTCAGATCCTCTACACCGGTCTCCAATATACAACAGTAAGAAAACATCATATCAGAGACGTATATATATGTGTGTTATATATGTCTCTGATAATAATAATCAATATTATAAATCAATTGTGACATCAGTTCCAATTCCTTTACAACTTCGGCTTTGTAATTATACAAAAGTTCTTCATTTTTCCTATGCTTATCTAATCTGTTTTAAAAGAATTTATTCTAGGTGGTGAGATAATTTGTTGCGGAAGGTTGTTCCTAATTTTCACTACTCGCACACTTAAAAAGTTTTTTTTCTTCTGATATCTAGCTAACTCTGCAGTGGAAATATTTTTTTCGAATGTCCTGTTGTTCCTTGTCTTTACACCATGTCTTGTCAAGTTTAAGAAAATCAGTTGACTTGCTGTTGCAGATATCGCTTGCTATATTCAATACTTCTGTCATGTTCTAGAGCATTGTCGTTTACTTCCCATCCTTTTTACTTCAGGGGTTACGCTCACTATCGCTCTCTTCGTCCCTGGAACATTTCATGGCAAAATGAAAGGCGCCGTTGAAAATATCAAACTAGGCTTCTCATCTTATCCACAAGGTTTCGCACACGGAACCTTCCATTTTGCCAGGAAATGTTCCAGGGGTACAGAAAGCGATATTGAGTGTAACATCAGGAGTATCTGGGGCGTTTACTCGCAGACTTTTCAACGCAAAAAAAAAAAAAAAAAACGAAAAGAAAAGAAAAGAAAAGATGCTTCAAAAATGCTACCTATACAACAGATTAATGAGGAGTTAAGAAAACTTGAGACATAACTGATAGAAACAAGATTTTTTCCCAGTACAGTGTCTTTGTAAAAGAACAGACTGGAAGCATAGGGAACTTCACCAAATAAACAGAATAAGGGAGAAGGCCTCGAGATAACTGTGGTGGAAGTAAAAATCCTTAACACGAATGAAGAACTTCCAACCGGAAGTCTTCCGGCTAGACACAATCCATCCCATCTACCTAATGAACATAGAACCATCCATATCAGGACAAGATTTTCAACCTAACGTTATCAACGGGAACACTTCTGGTTGACTGGGGAAAAAACTGGGATCAAAGCAGTCTTTAAGAATAGGGACGCATGCGAAGATGTGTAAGGGAACGCATAACAATGGTTATGAGGGCTAGCAATATTTTGTCGAAGCAGTATTTTTTTATTGGGAAGATTCAAGTGCCTCCATCTTCTCGAAGAGATGGAAAAATGGGGCGAAGCTGTAGACAATATGATAATATTATAAATTATGACTATGAAAATGCATTCTAAGAATTTTCCAAGAATTATGTCCTGGATATCAACATTCCTAAAAGGCATGCGTCAAAAGGTAAACGTGATTAGGGAGGACTTATAATGAGGTAGGGTAAATTTAGGCACCCACAAGGATCAGTCCTAGGGCCAATACTATTCATCATATTTATAGATGAATTGCCAGACATCGCCAAATAGGATATGTAACTTTTTGCAGAAAACAAGAAATACTGCTCTACACTTCAGGACGAGCTAAACACTATGTACAACTGTAGCGATACTTGGCTTCTCAGAATGCATCCGGACAAATGAAGGATATGAGAACAGGAAGGGAAATAAGAACGGGTCAAGGTCAAGGTCGCCTGGATGTCAAATACAACTTTAACCGGAAAATCATCCAAACAACAACCCCGGAAAAGATATCGGCTTAAAAACAGATTTAGAGCTCTCGTTAGGTCACATAATCGCGATAGTTCAAAAAAAGTGTTGGCAAGCATAATTATTGTATCATTTCTTAGACCAAGCGCTACCCTTGTGACGTCACGGGATTTTCCGGTCTGTTAACCGGAAGTTGGGAAGTGTGTTAATTAGCCTCCATCGACAGGTGCAAACCGGTTCCGAACGGTGAATTTAACGACAAATATCTCAAAAACTAAGCGACAAATTTTGACCGGGTTTCCGATTTTTTTAATAAGAAAGGAAACATAATTAATATTAATTAATACTATACCGTAATCTAGGTACACTTTAAGTTTGGTTTTTTATTCTAGGAAACTGCTGATTGGAAAACTTGTAAGCCTTCAGATTGTTAAGAAGTCTGTTTGGTGGCGGTGTGTGTGTTGGGGGGGGGGGTTCTAAGGAGTCTGTTGTTGTTGTGTATTTATATTAAGTACACGTAATACCACATTTTTTATATGTTTAGATATCAAAGTCCGTGATTTACCTAACTCTAATGTATTAATTGGCACGCACGTGTTCTACATTCGTGAACGTCCACTTCGGCGTGTGTATTATTTGATATTGAACTTCTACCTCAGCGTGTGTTGATTTTTAATATTGGACTTTCACCTCAAAGTGTATTGATCTTTAATACTGAACTTCCACCTAGGTTTGTAATAATATTGAACTTCCGCCTCGCAGTGTATCTTTAATGTTGACCAATCTAAACAGAGATATTGTAAATATATCGTAATTTATTGATTTTGTCAATTTATTTTAAGGACCACGGGTTTCGATACAGTCTGTGTAAGACCGTATAATTACATTATATAATAGTACGTCGACGTCCTTGAGTTTATCGATTTATAGAAACACAGACTATCATATCTAAGTTCATGATTGAAATCCCTAGTCCCAGGGATTAGTGTTATCATTGATTCTAAGCACATCATATCATCATATTTCGTGTATAGGTATTGAAACGACACCCAACACACTACAACAAATATGTAGTTTACTTCATTTCATTTCAGGATCGATAATAGAACGATCTCCGCAGGTTAAATATCAGTTTGAATTATACGCCATCGATTTGCGTTATAAACGCAAAAATGTATTACTATATATATATATATAATTATCAAGGTATAACCTTGAGACAGAATATGACATTTTTGAAAGCTGAACTCATAATTTTCGTTTACTTTAAAATAACGCCAGTTTAAGCATTTCTATCCTTTGAACTATCCAGACTTTAAAAATTGTGAAAAGGACAAAATAAAAGATAGTAATACTGACACAAACAACACAGGTAGAGAGTCGGTAATTTGGGTGCTAATCACTAAGTTACATGATAAAAAATGAATTCCTGGAAATTTAAATAAATAAACAGCAATGCAACAGCTACAACAGATAATGATTTCTCATATTATGAGGAAATGAACTCGTGTATGTGATAAGTGTCAGTTTGAACTTCTGTCCACACTTAGCGTCAAACATTCATGAGCAGATGTTGATGTTTACATAAGGCAAGACGTGACATAAAAAATATATCTGTTCGAAGAAAAGAAAATGAAAACATCGTCAAGATTTGTTTGTTTACACACACTCTGGTAATGTAAGATAAACAAGTCATTTGTGTCCTAAATAAATTGACAGATACCGCGGGGAAATGTATGAGGCGGTCTCTTTGATTTTCTTTCATCTTTTCATTTCTTGTATATTTAATATTTCCGCTGTTCACACCCGTGGAGCAGTAGAAGCCCAAATCCCTAAGGGCTACCCTCATCTCCGCCTGATTGACTCGTCAAGCGGAATAATGGGCGGTGCTGAAAAGAAGTGTCAACATGTCCCAATGCCGTTTGAGGTACTCGACGTCCAATTATGAGATTAAAATGACGAGACCACTATGTCACAGGGAAGTTTCAGAAAGCTATATATAGCAAATAAATGTCAGGTCACATACATATCATCTTTTCTTGTAGAAGGAAACCCCTGGAAAAAACAGCCTCAACAGATCGATCGATACCTCGAATTTTGCAAACATTTTGAAATGGCACAAAGGTACGTGAGAAAAGATTCGTGTATATACATTTATATATTTAAACGCTATTAATTTTTGAATTACCTTCTCAGTGTAAGTCCCGGTTTTAAATTTTCTACTTAACTGAGCGTAAAAACAAATAAAATTCCCAAAGGCTATAATTTAGTAAGAACAAGAAAGAATTTTAACAAGAAGAGTAGCCATGTAAAACAACAAATAACAACATGACACGATCATTGTTGGAAAGAACCCTGCACCTAAATTATGCGTAAGTATTTGGTTAATTATTTCAAAATATCTAAGGTTAATGTCACAAACGAACGAATTACTGCTATCTAAAACATAAGAATGTCTCCAGTATTCCCATGTAAAATGAAAACCGCATATTTGATATGAAAACCGTGGTTATTCATATTGTTAAATTTTAACATTACAAAGGTGCGCCCGCCAATATATATGTTTAAAGATAAATATTAATTGAAAACGTCAGGGTAATTTATCAGTGAGTTTTATCGATTGTAACAAACTAATATTGTCTTTTACTCGAAGTTATATATCAACACTTTTCTCTTTTTTAATTATTTGATTTTATTTGGCCTCCACTTGCATGGCATCAACTAAACACAATTTAATGTCAAATTTGATGTTTTTTTTTATAACACTGTGACACACTTGACAGACAAGAGGTCAAACAAGAATACTACTATGTCAGTCTGATATAGGTCACGCCTGGACAGATTCCATCAGTTCACAATCACCTTCAGTGACATGTATACATAAAAAGTGGTAGACTAATCAGTTTAAGAACTGTCGGACTGAAAAACATCAACAAGTGGCACTTCAGAAATGTAGTTAGCTTCATGAGACCAGATACTTATATAACATATACGTCTGTGTTGAAGTGATATGATCATAATACACTTGTAATATTTAGTGATTTCCAATTCCAGTCGCTGTCAGCGTCGAATCGAACCGCGTGACTCTAATTAACACGAATTCAGTTTATTCCCGACAATAGAAATATACAGTGTATAAAAACCTAATGTAACTATAGACAGTGACGTACACCTAGACAGTGACATCAGCCATGTAAATAATAAAAATCACTCCCCAACACTGTACCGAATGTAACAGTACTTCACAGGGTACGTATTTTAAACTGAGCTGTGTTTATTAGTAGTGGAATCTTTAAAAATAGCATACACTAAATTCAGCGTGTTTTCCCAGATAACGAAAGTGTAAAGTGAAAGTATGTGAAAACTAGCAGCAATTAGGTTAAACAAATATGTCATTCATATATTTAATTGATTAAAAAAAAAAGAGAGAGAGAAATGACAACATTTATAATTCTCGTATAGATTTTTTTTATCTCTTTTTTTTTCGGAATATCAAAACACGAGTATTTATATATAACAAGGATGCATTATTTCAAGAGACAAAGATGTAATTAAGTAAGAGCTAAAACGTGCTTAAAAAACTAACAAAACAATATTTTAACTAATTATCAGTGCAGTAGGTCACAGACGTGTTATACTAATTATGCGTCACTGAAATGATCCTCGATCCGCCTACAAAGTCGTTAACTGCGTCATTAGTCCTCCTAAGTTATGTAAACAACGCGATCGCTTCCAGATCAGAAACGTAACCAATATTAAAAATGTCAACTTCGGAAATGGATTCTGCATTATATTCAGACAGAAGAATTGTTATATAGATAAATGATAAACAAAAGACGGAAGTTTTCCGGTGGATTCTTATGTCTGCACAATGGGGGATTCCATTACAAAGAGATTTCCTTTTAATTCTAAATATAGTCTGACCTTGTATGACGCAAAAAAGGATCCCCGCTAAGATAGATTTTGATTGGTCGAGACTCATGCTCTTTGTGGTGTACTGTTATTGTCGAGACTGTAATACTGAAACAACAATTACGAGGCGAGGAAAATTTATTTAGTTTATCAGGATTGAACACAAGGTAGGTTTTAGTGATCTCTACGTTAAATTTATGTACAATTATATGTTACATGTTTTCATACAGTTGACATAAACTTAAGTATTTTGTGTGTTTTATTGTAGAAAAGTTTACAGATGAAAGACACAAAGGATTGTACTTGTGTCGTTTAGGTCTCTGGTCTGTGTGACGAGTATATATTGGGGAGTGTCACTCAACTGACTTCAGTTAGGATATTTTAACGTGTTACCTGCTTAATTTCAATGATTACGTTTTATTTATTTATTTGTTTATTTATCCTTAAGGCTTTGTATTCTAGATTCTTAGTAGAACCATGGACATAAATAACAGTTATCTACGTTCCTGGCATAACCCAGTCTTAGCAGGGACGTATAATTCAGTATAATACTTCTCTGATCAAAGACATATTCTTATTTCTACCGTTTTCGTATTTCCTATAAGTACATATACGTGATAACCTATTATCAGAATATATATCACGTGAAAACATATATTCATTGGATTTTGCCAGAGACATATATGTGTGTTATATACGTCTCTGATTTTGCGTACACCCCATAACATGCCTCGGTCCCGTTCAGTGAACACCCCTTCGAAATTTGTTTCTTGTTAAACTTGACTTAATTTATAAACTATTACCATGTTTTATATTAACGAAACACGTGATATCAATTTTCTTCTAATGTAAGTCAGAGACGTTTATGTCTCTGCCTAAGTTAATAACATGTCGACGTTAGATTAGTATATAGGCGTAATTTAATTTCCAAAAAATAAAATTAAAACCATAAAATGGTGATTTCTGTTAATTTTGAGGAATTTTGAGAGGCGAGTTTTATGATTATTGCGAGACGAGTGTAAGGCGTCTAAAAGTATGTGTGCTATTCTGAAACAATTAACAATAATTAAATTTGTTTTATAAATATCTTGTGAGTACACACAATGTTTGCTCCCATAACAAAAATAATGTCCGCTGATAGCCTGATATTTGACCCATCGTCTTCCGCTACGTTGGTGAATCACCACAGTCATTGTACTTGCGATAGTGTCAGTACACTATATACAGCGGTCTTGGCACTTGACAACATTCCTTGAGTACAAGGGTCGACTACTTCACATATTGACAATCAAAATTTGTGACATTTCAACAACACCTGCTCGGAGCATAACATATGACGCTGATTTTCAGCGCCACCTGCCTGTCTATATGTGAAGGATGACAAACAAAATGTAGGTTTACTTCAGAGTAAAATCAACGAAGCGACAAAACCATATGTATAGTTTAGCTTAGATAAGACCGCCTGATCATACGGTGTTACTATGTCGATTTAACATACCGTTCAACGCAAAGGGATTCACCTCACAAAAATACTTCTTTCCAATCTTGAAGCATATTTTAAATATTTTTCTTTTGAGGATGTATGATCAAAAAGGAAATTGTACAAAATATGGTATGTAAATCAAGTTTATATTTAGCTTTGATCTCTCACTAGAGTTTAAACCACCAAAAATCTTTTCGTTATGCAGACTTATCTGCTTGTGTGAGCAACTATTGATTGTTGCGTCCTTAGTTTACATGAGAAAATGACCTCGATCGTTTTCTCACAAATTTATGGCGTAGTTCTCTCACAAACAAATGACGTTACCATACCTGCCAACTTTTCAAAATTCTCATGGAGGAAAAAAGTGCGTGAAAATAATTTATGACTTGTCACAATACCTTGCGCGTCGCGACATTTGTCATATATGAAAAAATATAATGTATATTTAATCTATACATCTAGATTGTCTGTTTGGTTGTTAGTGGGGATATGTATAATCACAGTAAAAATTAATACTTACACACAAGAGGAGATAACTGCTGATATCTATTGATCAAACCTACATACTTTGCAACAGAGGTGTGTTATCTTGAATAAAACAAATCATTGTTGAACGAATTTTTTTTTCTGTCCACAGCGACAAGATGTATTCAAGGAATCTCGTTCTCGGCGGTCAGAAGCCTCGTGATGGGATGGAGGAGAGTCTCGTTCCCAAAGAAAAACCGGCGGCAAAAAAAGCTGTTGACATGGTGACGGTGTTTGTACCGGAAGCTGTGGCAGAGAACCAAGTCTACTGCAAATCCGTAACGTCAATCTTATCGAAACAAGATTACCAGAACTACCTCCCAGTATATAGACCACTTGTAAGTTTCACTCGACCAAAACAACACAACAATTACTAGCTTGAGTTGTCTTTCCTTAGAATCAAAATCCTTTATTAGTCAGTTAACAATTGTGAGAACTGGAGTTCAGGAAAATTATCCCGGTTAACGGTTTCTGACATTCGAGAAGTCTTTTATGGGCAAACACTTCTCATGTAATTTAATTTACTTTGTGTTAACGTTTTCCAAAACATGCTACCAACATTGTTTGTTTAAAGCTTTACTTCTAAATTCAATTTGATATTTGATAAACCAAGTATTTCTGAAATGAAAATAACACTCTTTTTGTTTACAGACCGAACCGTTGACACTGGAAGCGCGACCTGCACGTCCATGTTACGTCACGATCCTTTATCTATTTTTGGGGATTCTGTTCTTTCTGTTGCTGGCGGGAATAACAACCTGTATATACCTGGCGATCACACAAGATTAATTCTTAACCATGAAGACCGGATTGTCTCTCTTTTTTTAATCCTCCGCTAGGTTTTGTCCTGGAAAATACAACGAGCAAAGCATAGTGGAGACTGTACAAAGGGAGATAATCGTGTTAACTGTTATCCTGTGCACAGAAAGACACACCTGATAGGTATTGTAATAATCCCGAAAGGTGTAGAAAGAAAGAAAAATCATTTTGGAACAGGTTGTCAACGAGAAATACATGGGCATCTATAGATTGGTACGAACAGTCCATGATTCAATAGATGTAGGAACAACTTAGGAGTTGTTTCGTATGAAATCATGCAGAGAAAAATTTTAATCAGTTTGCTGCTGTTAGAAGAAGAATCTAGTGCTGTTCCGAAAGAATAATACAGTGATGTTCAGAAAGAATGATGAATGGTTGCCCAGAATCCATTTCTTCGAGTGAATTAATAATGTGTTGATGAAAGTGCCAAAATTGTACCTCTCCAGCATAAAATTTCTGTCTTGTGTTCAGCACATCGTGTGAGATTTGTACATAGGCATGCGAGAATGAAATTAGACAATGTCCCATTGGTGCTGACTATTTTCGGGACAAATTGTCATCTGTAGGATGGAGATGTTTGTTAGAGGATGTATCTGTTTGAAGAATGACTTTCATTATCATTTATCAACCTATGTGGAAAAAAGACCAGTATTATGTGAAAGAGGATTTTGTTATCGCAAAATTGGCGATAAAAATACTGTGATATTCAAAATTATGACTTAGGTCACTCGAATTAAAGGGCGACAATCAGTAATAACAAAAGTCCCTAATTGAACTGTATTGTATTGTATTGTTTTTCCTTGAATTTTTATAATTAGATTTTTTATTGATCAAATTTTGTAGATGATGTATAAATCAAAGTTGATATCCAAACGGAACTTTAATTAATATTGATACAACGGCGAACACATTCCATCATTGTAATTATTTTAAAATCTAATCATTAATTTCATTTAAAGATATTATCTAGGTTACTATATAGATATTACCCATATCATCATACTGTCTTATGAGCGTGTTTGTTTTCTTTCTTTTTTGGACATCAGTGTCCAAAATATCCTTGCTCTTATTTCTATCTCTCAATTATATTTTTACAGTAGGTTTGTCTCGATACTAAAGCTTAGGGATGACAAAGCTTGACTCATTTTAATGTTTTATCTAAGACGATTCAAGCGTCTCATGGATCATGAGTCATGGTGCTGTGATGTCATACAGAAATTAGAATATCGATCCGACACTGAAGGATTCGGCGATGAAGTAGACATCCTTGAAGCTTCAACCAATTACAATAACAAGCTTTTTATTTATTTAAATTGTCTGGAATCAAAAGTTATTCAATTGTTTTCGTGAGTAGTGTTGTTATGTAATTTCGTGGTACTTGTGTTGCAAATCGTGATTTTCACAAAAAAGGAAAATTAGGATGAAAGGCCATTTTACTTTTTATCAACTAAACTACGAAATGAAGTAGTTGTCATTAGTCATAGTTTGTAAATTAGTTTTGCTTACTATTTTTTCATTTATTTCATAAACATGCATTGAATTTTTAAACTTAAATGTAAGTGTGTAATCTGGTTCGAGAGGTTGTCAGCCTTAGTTTGAAACAGAAGAGTAGTTGTACTACACTAAGGCCAGGGATATCGGTCAGTGTTATTTTGCTGATTGCAAAATCCAGATTAAGGTTTCATATCAAGCAAAGATGAAACTATGTCAGTATCCTACTATTATCGCTTTTAGAATCTTCACCAAATCATGGACGCGATTTCTATGTTTGTAATGTTGTCTTTTTTATACGTATATTTTGAACAATAAAACAAAAGTACAAAAATATAATTGTGATTGTTATTATTATTATTGTTTACTCCCGCAAAATAGAGATTCAGTTTGTCAATATACACATTAACGTAACAGACGTACAGACAGACAATTACCCGTGTTACAGACATACAAAGTCCTAATTAAAATGTATGTTTATAGTAAACTGAGACAGACATTTTCACGGGCTGGTGAGGCGAGGTTTCTTCACCATTGATGTCATCTATCAGCGAAGGAGTAAACTGGTGTGTTTTTAATTCGAAGAGATGCTTTCGTCAATATGTTTTCGACATGTTATCGAAAATTTAAAAACTTCAGTAAGGAGAAAATCTCGTCCATCATGAATTTTTTGACAGATTGTTATCGCTCTATCTAGAGAAGAAATTGTTGGATTATTCTATTTTTTGTGTGTTCCCACGGTCCTAATTTATGCATTGTCCATTCCGTGGACTGGTTGGAACAGAATAAGCTATCCGACAGACAAATATCTTGATTCTCTTCATTTGTTCCCCCCCAGCCCCTCCCCCACTCCTACCCCAATCAAAGGTATACAACAATAACGGAACCGCCAAGTAAACTACGGCAAAAACGTCACGTTTGTAGTATTTGCCGCAGCCCAACAACTCTGTTATGCAGTAGTTCGTTATGATAAATTTTCCTTTACAAAAACTTGATTAGATAAGGACGGTATTTCTCCAAAGCTTAATTTGCCTGGTTCTGTATATGTTAAGGGATACATGTCTGCTAACAGAATGTAGGCCGAGAGTAACTTACCATAGAATATGTGTGGTTAGAAATAGTTATTGGTTAAGAGGAATGTTTATATGGCGCTTCAACTTCTTGTTAACACTTAAGATATTTTCCTTGGTGAAAAAATACGAATGGTTTTGTGTTATTAGTAAAGTAATGGATCGCGTTTAGCACAAGAGACTTCTAAGTAAGCTTTCATGTTTTGGAATTCGGGGCTCGCTCTTAAAATGGTTAGAAAATTATCTTTATAATTACAAAGAGTTGTTATCACAAAAAATATAATTTGTTTAAGATTTCCCTGGGTTCCATCTTGGGTCTATATTTATATCAACCTATATCAAATTATTTGCTTACGACACCTCTCATTATTGACACACTAGACATAAAGCACTGGAAGAAAAAAAGAAATTGAAGTAAAATTCCCGAATGGTCCGCACTTGTTTTGGTAAATTTTAATCTTACCAAACTGAAACCTATAAACATCTAACAAAAAAACAAGACGAATTTATGAAACCCTTACAACAAAATTCTGAAGTGGGACATTAAAAACTTTTCTGTATGAGGAATCTGCTAATTGCATGCACAGTTTTACGGTGCAGTATGTATGGAAAACAGACAAGCCGACAGCACAAAATCAATACCCTCCCACCCTTTCGATTCAGGGGCTTAAAGATAAAAATAGAACACTCCAATTCAGTTTCCCCCTAACCTGCTTTGCAGCTAGGGCGCAAGAATTGTACCTGCCGCCCCAGTATATGACTGTAAGAGTCGTCTTAACTTGGGATTTTATTATTTTCTTTTAATAATTCTCTTTTCAAAATTTTCTTCTTCCTCGTTTCTCCCTCAACACTGCCTCATCATTGGCCTCTTGTTGAGCGTTTGCAACCTTAACTAAGTTTTAAGCGTCGTTAAAAGAGGAACTGTGGTAGCACTATAAAGTCGTATTCTATTCTGCACCGTCACAAGCCTCCCAAAACGTAAGACGCAACACATGCATTCTTCTCGCACTGATACTACACTGTCTGAACAATACTGACAATCTGAACTTGTTTCTATTAAAAATGGCGGCTGGATCGATTACATTTACATATCAAAATCTCAGATTTCACCAAAATTTGATATTTTTCACAAAAAGTTGACTTAAGATCGTACCTCTCTGCAAAATCTGTGTTGTGCTCTTTTCCGGCTATTTTTTCAATCATGGCAATATTATCTGAGATGGTTTTACAAAAACTTAGCCGCTGACATTAGAGGCAACAAGAAGAGTGAAACATTGTCTTGAGACAGGCTGGCTTCCTAGAGAGCAAAAACCTAACATTTAATGGTACACGGTCTCCTCAACAAATATATACCCAAAATCTTCCACAACGTAACAACAACATTCGTGATCATAATACTTGTGTTGATAAGAACTTATGTCATATGTCTTAGTCGCACAACCCTTCACATGGAATCTTTTCTGCTGTCACCAGCGAAGGCAACAGGCCACACTATTTTAATTCCATAGCGATAGAAAGGGCCAGCCTTACCACGAAAGAATGAGGATGTAGTACAAGTCTATTCCGTAAAAATCTTGTAGATATTTCGCTGTTCATTCAAGTAATCAAGAAATTGAGACCAAAGAACACTTTTTATTCCGTTGTTTGCCGGGATTTTCAGAGCTTCGTTTACGTTTTTTTTTAAAACTTACAAAAGATGCAGAAACGAAATTATAGAAGTTATATGTGATTTTTCAAGACGAAGCAAGGGAGCTAACTCCCGACAGCCTACACCTGAAAAACTGCCTAGGGACGTTATTGAATAGTTGAGATTCATATGTCTATTTCTTTTTATTTAGTTAAGCCAAGTTAAATATATCAAAACGTTGTGACTGATTAACTTGGTAGTTTTTAAATGTGATTCTATTTTCTTTTGACAGCGTCTTCAGATGACTTCATCTCTCCTCGTATGGTAAGTTAGGGTCATATTTATCGATTTTAGAATACTATACAAAAGACACACAAAATAATAGCACCTTTCAATACGAATTTTGAATAAGATAAAACAGAGCTAAATAATGAATGAAGCTGCATCATACAGCTGTTTCATCCTTCGTGGACTCGTTATTGATGCTAAAGGCCTGAATTTTAACGTAACAGGTGACAAAGGATAAACAAAATTGATCAAAAGAAAATTAAGATCTAAATGGAAAGGGGAAATAGCCTCATAATTTCGTAAATTTTGTAATTTTCATACGTCTGATAGTTTGAAAAGAACGCTCGTTATTACGTCATTCGCTAAAGTGCTTCGTCGTTATAGCATCACTCGATATGCTATTTCTCGTTGTAACGTCATTACACATAGTGTATCTTATTTAAATATTGAATATTGTTTCGCATCATTCTATATCGTGTCACTCGATAAAGTGTTTCTCGTTATAACGTCACTCGATATAGTGATTCTCGTTACAACGCCAATCGATAAAGTGTTTCTCGTTATTACGTCACTCGATAAAGTGATTCTCGTTATAACGTCACTCGATAAAATATTTCTCGTTATAATGTCTCTCGATAAAATGTTTCTCGTTATAACGTCACTCGATAAAGTGTTTCTCATTATAACGTAACTCGATACAACAGCCGTTCCTCCGTATACCAAAAAACATATTTCAATAACATTTTCCCGTGCTTATTGCAATTTAGTAATACATGTATATCTTAAAAATGCAGGTACTACGCAACACCACCTACCAACTCTGTGATTTAATGTTACGTTTATCGTGTCCATTCTAAAAATTTCATGACAATTTAAAAAAAAACCAAACGTTTAAATTCAAAACCTTTCAGAGATTTGAGAGCTTTTAAACGATTTTTCAATGTCATTTTTTCTTCCTTTGTCGTTATATTTGGTTCCGCAAAACATTTGGGAAGTGGAATTTGGTTCGTACTGTTAACTCATTCGAGTTATAGACATCAATAATACGAATGATTGATTTTTCTATCCGAACTGACATACCTGTATTGATGCACTATATCTTTACGTGCGTGTGAATAATTGATAGCTATGCGTGATCAGGCGAAGGAAAGAATCACCAATAGCGGATTGATATCCAAACTCCAGCCGTTGTAACAAGTCGAAATGAGAGGGGGGTTCTCACGGGCGAATTTTCGCACGTGATAAATTATTGATACAGCTGGTCTTGACTTCTGCCTTCCGATTATGTAAATTGGCGCCATGATCGGACCCCTTGCTTAGTGTCGGCAGTCTGTGTTCATGTCTAGTGTTACCTGTTCATAGCACACGAGAATGTATCGATTTTTGCCAGGTAAAACAGCGTAACAGCTGGTTCTTCAAGATGGCCTCGGCTTGCAGTTGATATGAAACGTTTTCTCTGTGATTTTTAGCTTTTATATTTCTATTTGTCTATAACCTAATGTAGAAGGACCACGCCCTGCGGGTAGCGTCACATTTGGACAATATATATATATCGGGATGCGTTCGATTTCTTACGTTGCAATGGAAGACCAGCTTGCCTCTTTGCTGGAAGTAGGTTTGTTTTGAAGTACTATCCAGGGTACTTGTCTGTTTACGTTTTAGGTGAGGATAAACGAGCCGACGTCTCGAGTGGAATGTTATATCTCTACTACCGTTTGAGGAGATTTAAACAAGTGCATAATGGTCACGTGGGCATCGGATTTTAAATGAATCGGATTCAGTGAATGATATAGGTATATTTAGTGTGCTGTTAGGGCGTGTTCAATCTGACAGCTTATATATAACGAACATATCGGATTTTCATGATGATAAATACGTGAAATTATGACGATAGTGTATCGATATGAATGCACGTGATGAGTCGGCAGGGAATGTTGAAGTTATATACACTGATTATAAGAATCTATATACAGGAAAGATTGAAAATCAACTTAATATGAACTGAAACGAACAGTTAAAGAAACTGGATTATTGTTGGAGTAATATACTTGTGGATATATGACCCACGGATTCTCTGTTTTTGCTTCTGGAGGGTGTGTATTAGACCAAACAGTGCACCACAGGGGAGATTGTTCTTGAATTTGATGATTTTGAAATAATATGGTTTCGCATGGGCTTTGGAATCAGCAAGCAAGTTACGATCAACCAAAGGACCAAGGATAGCCCAAGGTAATACTGTAATTAAACTAAACAATCATAGTTCGGATAATATCATGAAACCATTATCACATTTGCATTTTTAAACTTCTGCACATCCCTTTCTAAAACGACCAGACTGTATGTGAATTTCAGTCACTTTTTACACACCGTCCAATCATCACATAATTCTTATTACCTTTCATAACCAACTCACTTTGCAATGTTTCAACAGAATCCATATTAATCGATCATTGTTGATCAATTTTACCCCATCGGGGATTGGGAAGGGCGAGTAATGATGACGCTTTGTTAGAGGGAGAAAGAAGGGTTTAGATTTCAAAGTAAAAATACTATCGTGTTCAGTGTGGATCGATATACATTGTAGTACACACCAGGTGTATATTGATACTCTAATCGATAAGTAGTTTACGCCCTTTACTCACTGTTTACCTGACCAATTCGATCGTTATTTTATGTTTAAAACATAAAAGCTTTAGATGCCCTTCCCTTTTACAACTGCGTGATAAGTTATTTGTAAACCAATTGTGTTTATGCCTTCTTCCAACAACATATTTTGTTTGAACTTCTTCGCAATAACATTAAGTTATACAATCATGACATTTAACAAATGATATATTGAGGTGAAGGGCTACCTTTGTTCAAATAAACGACCTTGAAGGATCATTTTCGCCAGAAACTTTGTGTTATATACGTCTCTGTACTTGATCACGGTGCATAGTTAAACGAACAACCTTTGCCCGGTAGCACAGCGACCCGCGGTCAAGAAATCTGACCGTATCAAATAGGCCATCAATTTGATACTATTGAGTCATTAGTCAAACGGATGAAAATTTTCAAGCGAAATCTCTTGAATTGAACGCAAAAGACATAATTTTGATATTGTATCGTCGGATTAATTATCATATGATGTGCTATCTAGTTTTCCCAGTTGAATTACCTTGACATATTCTCAAGTAAATCTTTTTCTAAATGGGATCTGTCTAGAGAGAGGACCGGTCTTGCGAATATATCCGCTCGATTTTACACAGTAGTTCATGTAGGGGAACTTTTAATTGAATTAAGGCAATACGTGTTCCGGTTAACCAAGTTAGAATAATAATTTATTCTAAATTATACAACAGATATGTCTGCTATCAGTGTACACATAACTTTATCTAAATGGGTCCACATCAGAACATGTTACACAAGGCGTTTAAAAAGCCTTCTACTTCAAAATTATCGACTGGTTTGTTCATGACAAAATTTATCTTTAAAATGATGTTATAGAATGTGGGTTTTTTATCACGTGTAAATATACACGCCGCAAAAATTATCAACAATGTTAAACAACATTTAATGTCATAAAGCCAATTGTAGATTGACTAAGATTGATCATGCCTTTTAATGTTACATTTTGTTTTTGCTGTTATCTTTTATTTGATTTCTTTTATTTGTATGTTTTTTGTGGGTTTTTTTCTGCGCATGTGGTAGGGTAGGTGTGTTTGGTCTTTATTTTTTTACTTCCCTGACAAAGAAAGTAAATATCAAAAGTAAAATAAAACTATATGTAAATGGTACTATCTTTGATTAAGGACAATTCATGAAATAACGTTTCCTTTTGATTACATTCATTAGTTTCGGTTTGTTTCGATTTCGTTTGTTTTGCATATTGTGACGTCACAACGTGATTGGTCTCAGTGTACCCTAACAGTATGACGTCCCAACGTGATTGGTCCCCGGGTACTCTAGTAGTGTGACGTCACAACGTGATTGATCCTCGTGTATTCCAGCAATGTGACGTCACAACGTGATTGGTCCCCATTGCCCAAGAAATGTGACGGAACAACGTGATCGGTCCCCCTGAACTCATTATTGTGACAGCACACCCTGATTGGGTCCCGTTATACCCAGAATTTTGACGTCACAACGTGATTGTTCCCCTTGTATCCCAGCATTTTGACGTTACAACATGATTAGCCCCGTGTACCCTAGCAATGTGACGGCACAACGTGATTAGCCCTGTTTACCCTAGCAATGTGACGACACAACGTGAATAACTCCTGGAACGTGATATTTGTTTTTATGCGTGTTATATCAATGTGTTATTGAATTCTGCCATTGTCAGTGTCAAAGTAACGCTTTATTAACAGTCTGTAATCTGGTATGTAATCAAACGTTAAAATGTCAAATACCGTTCACATATCGAATACATCATGGTGAAGCGATTTATCATCATTGATACTTCAGTCTAAAATGTAACCGCTATGCATGTCTAACTTTAAATGGGATCTGTCTAGAGAGAGGACCGGTCTTGCGAATATATCCGCTCGATTTTACACAGTAGTTCATGTAGGGGAACTTTTTATTGAATTAAGGCAATACGTGTTCCGGTTAACCAAGTTAGAATAATAATTTATTCTAAATTATACAACAGATATGTCTGCTATCAGTGTACACATAACTTTATCTAAAGGGGTCCACATCAGAACATGTTAGACAAGGCGTTTAAAAAGCCCTCTACTTCAAAATTATCGACTGGTTTGTTCATGACAAAATTTATCTTTAAAATGATATTATAGAATGTGGGTTTTTTATCACGTGTAAATATACACGCCGCAAGAATTATCAACAATGTTAAACAAAATTTAATGCCAATTGTAGATTGATTAAGACTGATCATGCCTTTTAATGTTATATTTTGTTTTTGCTGTTATTTTTTATTTAATTTCTTTTATTTGTATGTTTTTTGTGGGGTTTTTTTCTGCGCATGTGGTAGGGTATGTGTGTTTGGTCTTTATTTTTTTACTTCCCTGACAAAGAAAGTAAATATCAAAAGTAAAATAAAACTATATGTAAACGGTACTATCTTTGATTAAGGACAATTCATGAAATAACGTTTCCTTTTGATTACATTCATTAGTTTCGGTTTGTTTCGATTTCGTTTGTTTTGCATATTGTGACGTCACAACGTGATTGGTCTCAGTGTACCCTAACAGTATGACGTCACAACGTGATTGTTCCCCGTTACCAAAGAAATGTGACGGAACACTCTAGTAGTGTGACGTCACAACGTGATTGATCCTCGTGTATTCCAGCAATGTGACGTCACAACGTGATTGTTCCCCGTTACCAAAGAAATGTGACGGAACACTCTAGTAGTGTGACGTCACAACGTGATTGATCCTCGTGTATTCCAGCAATGTGACGTCACAACGTGATTGTTCCCCGTTACCAAAGAAATGTGACGGAACATTAGGTAGACATATTGAATATATCATGTTTTCACCCATTTAAAGATTTAGTGAATTCATATTAACTTATGTTTTGCAAATGATGTTATGAAACTATAAAACAATGTTATTGCTGCCAGTGATCAATTGGTCAATAGTTTGCAAATAACAGCAAATATGTGTGAAATGGCCATTTTGTCATAGTTACTGAAACATCAGGTGACCACGTGACCAGCCTCTCCCTCGTTGGGTCATACTCCAGCCATTACAGTGTTATAAAACTTACGAGAGGGGAGAAAAATAAGGATACAATATGCTAACGATCCAATTAAAGTTTGATAAAAAAAAGCAAAGCAAAGTCCCTAGACAAACTGTTCGATACATCAGAAGACCACAAACCTGTCCAGCCGCAAGCACTCTATGCAATACCCTGTCTACTATCCGACAGAAATGAAGTTACAGCGTTCTATGAAAAACAAAAGAGGAAGAGTAAGGGATAGTATATTTCCAAGATAATGTCTGACACGCCAACTAATTGAATGATTGATAAAAATAAATAATTATGAAAAGAGGGGAAAAAGACTAAATTTCAAATTCTCTAACCAGGAAAGACACCTTCCACATCTCGAATCTCGGCAAGCCCGAACGATGTTCCATGTCCATTTCCTAAAATACTTAGTAGAATAATACATTTTGTTTTTAATGAAGTTTACACTTCTGGCAGCTTGCCAGTCTTTCAATGATGCTTCTATCATTCCCATTCAAAAGTCAGGCAAGGATGATTTTTTAACTACTTTAATGTCAAACGCCAGGCTTTTTTTTGTTCTTGGAAGCCAATAACATTCTGATGCCTCTGCAAAGTGGATTGCGAAATAGACGAGGCACAAATGAAGTTTTAATTAGACTTTGGGCTTTTATTTGAAAATCATTCGCCAAACAAGCGCCGATTGGCTGTGTTTTTATCGACATGGAAAAGACCAATGGTATCACATGTCTTCCACTTTTTTTTCTCGAACTTCCTACGTATCACGTACACCGGACCGTGGGTGTAGAAATTTGGCCCTAATCCTTATGTATTTTTTGTTCAAATCCCCTTATACTAGACCCAGGTTGCGAGGCTTTCCTTCAGTCAAGCGGCAGAGTGTCAGAAATATACCTACCATTCCTTAAACCTCAGCGAGACAGGGCCTGTTTTTATTCCTATTATATATCTTTACATGACTTAAAATATTTGAATAATTGATAAGAAAATTTGTTCTAGATGACCTTGTAGTCTGTATAGAAGTTAAACATCCGAAGTTAAACATCCGTTTAATGTAAAAAAAAAAGAAGAGAAAACTTCAGAAACGAGTTTCACCATTTGTGTCATTTCGATATACTTGCTCACGTCTACCACAAGATCATATTATCACAATTCATCTCTTGAACTGTTGACCTGTTTATATATGCTATCTACTCATTCCCTACATTACTTTCAATATCAGTTACAAAGACATAAAACCCCAAACAAACAAGCCTAACCCACTTTTGATCGCAATTTTCAAGCCTAGGTCAAATTTAAGATAACTAGAAAATCATTCCGAAACAGAATTGTGAAGGAAATTCTACTTAACATATCTCGTGTACGACGGGTGCCAGGCATTGCTCGATAGTTGATCGTCACCCAAGAAATCAATAAATCGATAAGTTTTTAAAAATATCTAATCAATATGTACACACGTTAAATATCTGTTACTGGCAAAGCGAGCAGGCGTCTCCTGGGACAGAACACGATAACTCCATGACTAAATGCTATTTTCAGGTAAGAAAAAATGAGAATTCATCTTCAGAAAAATCACGAGACACTTTTTTGAATTTGAAATGAATTCTTCCTTCCCAAAATTAACAAAATGTTTCGTTTTCTCTGTTTCCCTTTCCAAATAACTTTCTCCAAAAGTAAAATCTGTCTTCAATCCAGTTTAGAACTTAACTTGTGAAATCTAGGCCAGATAAACCATTTTTGAAATGAATTGATTTTCAATTTGATTAAAGAAAAATCAACCGATAGAACATTTACAGTATGCAGAATGATTACTCATGGTATTATATAATTTCAACTGAATTTCATTCTACTTGACAAAATTTACAATCACCGGGGTCAAGGTTACAGAAAGTAAATTGGATTGATCTTGTTTGTCTGATCGTGGTCTTGTGGACGCTTTCCTTTATTTATGGTTAACGTTTGAACAATGTCCACCTCTCTCTATTCAAAGAGACGCTTGCACGATTTACAACGGGTTCTCGCGTCCTTTTCTATCGTCTCTATAGCAACACACGTTGATATGTCAAAACAAAACATCAATGTACTAGATAAAACAAACATTTCAAGAGCTATCGTCTCGTAAATATATAATCAAGCTGGAACAAATTTGTAGAAGTCAAGTTTATCGTCAATTGACGCGAAATTCATCCCCTGCTTAGGTATTCATTAGCAATTTAGTAGGCCTAGTAGTAAATTTATTATCAATCCCTTTGTGAATTCTGAAATTACTCAGCGTCACCTATAGGTTTGTTTTTGATGACGATCCCACGTACAGCGAGGTGGAAGGAGTGAAAGAGTGAAATAGACACTGGTCGATTTGCTTTCAGTTTTATTTTCATGAAGAATAATTGAAAAAATATATTTGCCTTCATCACTCTGTCCTTTACTACGACAATAAATGCCATATATTTTTAAAACGGGGGCAAAGAGCTATATTACAAACCGTGTGTGTGTGTAGGTTGTTCCATGAACCATACACTTGTAAATTATAACCTACTCATAAATTTGTGTAAACCATGTATATAACGTTCATGGCCCGAAATATACCGTTTTTGGTTCCTACACAAGGGAGAAACAGTAGAGATTGGAACATGTTCAATCATGAAAATAAATCGCACTGCCAAGGAGAACATTTTTAATCTGATATCGAACTTTATGACAGATTTGTCAATAAAATAGGCATATAATTTAAACGCGTGCCTCCATATCTGCGTAACGAGGGCCGACAACGAGGGCTCATAACTTTCAGAAGTGTCCAGCAGTACATATATAGTCTCGTTATTACCTTCCTTCACAAACAAATACCCATTCTGACCACCTGTAATTAGGGGTCCTAAATCTATGACACCTGTACGTATTAAAAGTAATGCGATTTGGTTAGTTTGGTAGTTTGTGTTTTATTTCTGGTAAAAAATGGCCTGTTGTTGAAGGGAGATTTTTAATTGTGAAACATTGAGAGAAGTTTGTGGAGTTGGAGCACTGTTATGACTGGATATTCACAGCGTATTGTGTGTACCACTCACACGTACAAACATGATTAAATTTAACATGTAGCCTACAATTTAAAAATACGGGGTATATGGTCTATCGAAGCTGCATCAAAATTACCCATCCAATCAACTCAATTTAGTAATTTTCCATATTCAAAAATCTTATATTTGAGTCTCACCTTTCGAATTTTCATTATTTTTAAAAACATGAGACTCTTTAAAAGGGTTATGAGAAAGATGAAGAACTTTCGAAAGTTTTTTTTTTATATTTCAAATTGTTTTTTAACTTTTTTCTACGGATCTATAAAACCAGGCTATTTAAAGAAAAATGATACTTTTAACTGATAATTTAAAAAATCGATTCACTTAGAATGAAATTTGAATTGAGTTATCATGTCGAATTATCGAGGAATCCTGCACTGAGATCGAGCAGCGCCTTACATGACATACTGTTAGCGAAACGAATTTGATTAATACCTTTATATCACGTCCTCTTTGTCTTGAGAGCGTCCTTTGCATGATCTGAATTTCATCAATGCCACGGCGTATCGAATGTTGCAATATTTATAAAAAAAAATGTGACCGTTTGTGGTTTTTTAAATCTCATTAAAACATGTATATCTATATAGTGAATGATATTTATGGTTTTTTAAATTACATTAAAAAGTATGAAGATTTGATTCAAACTTTTGTTTCTTGTGTTTATACATATATCTATATTTAATAACATTTCATATTAGTGAATACTTGCATATAAATACTAAAAATGAATATCAAATTCTGTTCTTGTAATCACTGTTACAATCATTGTGACTGAACCACTGCATGCAAAACCGTTAAACGAGACGTATAGCTATACAATTAAGGATTTCTTTTTTCATTAATTCTAAAAATGTTGAATTGTGAATTGTTGAATCGTATCTATAAGCTTATAATGATAATGTTTATACAATGATTATGCAGCTTCACTATATTATTTCCTTATCAAATCTTTTTTATAATTTAAGATTTTAGAGTAACAAAAAAAAAAAACAAAACAAAAAAAACAACAAAAAAACAAAAAACAAAAAACAAACAAACAAACAAAACAAAGCGAGCAACCAAAAAAAAAAAGCCGGAGACAAACAGGTGAAAACAGCTTTAGATATGAAGAAGGGGGTACTTTGAACATAATGTTGGTTCTAAGGGTGAGCACAATTAAAGGACATGGGAGTTAAAGAGTTCACTGAATGTGGAATTCCCTTTAGAAGCCGAAAACGATTCGAACTAACGATCCTGCATCTCTTTTGTAGAAGCACCGTGATCGTATTCAGTAAAGAGGACGCAGAGAGTGTACTACAAGGAGAAGACACTGGGACCTACCTTTTGTATCGGGATCATGACACGGACAGGCTGTACCTGTCCTTAAGGTAAGTTATTCAACGTCATGTTCTATATTTAGATCTCCTGGTGAGATTTATACAACCAATAAATAATTACAGATAACTGTTTACTTACACACGTACCAATCACTTGTCTACGCATAGATTTATATGCATTCTGTAATAAACGATACTGTTATAGACTTTGGTTGAGGCGACGCCTGGGTTTATCAACCACAGAAAAGAGAATATTGACCAACGAAGTGGTCTACAGTCACTCAAAGTCAATAAATAGCTTTTTAGTAAATGGTAGCGATACCATACTGGCTTATAAGAGGAGGAATTGTTCTATCGAAAAATATAAAATTATTTTCATACTTCATAAATAATAATGTATGATTTACACAAAACATTCCCAGACATCAATGAAATATCGTTTTATGTTCATAATTTTTAAAATGTGGCAAATTAGAAATCGCATTTGAAGGAGTTTTTTTAGGGAAATACATCTGTATTCATAATAAAATACCAAAATAACAAACACATAGTCCGTATTTGTACCTTTACCGATATTTTTTGTTTGTTTGTTTGTGTAAAGATAAAACTCAAATCGATGATTTTAGATCGACTGATTATGTAGAGCACCATCGAGTGAATTTCGAGGACAACCTGTATTATATGGACAATCAACCTTATCCCTACCTCGACTCAATCGTCCTATACCATCAAAAGCATAGACTCAACGGTACCAAACTCACTCATCACGTAAGTAGTTTCATACAATCATGGAATTAGTGGTACCAAATTTATTTACCACGGAAGTAGCCTAAAATACCATTTATCCAATGATACCAAACTCATTTACTATGTAAATAGCCCAATAAAGACATTTATCCAATGATACCAAACTCATTTACTATGTAAATAGCCCAATAAAGACATTTATTCAATGATACAAAAATCATTTACTATGTAAATAGCCCAATAAAGACATTTATTCAATGATACAAAACTCATTTACTCAAAATAATAAATAAACTCAATGGTATCCAATTTACTGACCACGTAAGTAGTCAAAACACAACATAGACTTCATTTTACCAAATTACCACACTCAGTGACAACTAAAGCCCCCCCCCCCCCCAAACCCCCCACCCCCCATCCCCACCCCCACCCCCACCCCCACCCCCACCCCTGGATCGCCCAACAAAAATGGAATTCCATAGAAACATAAACTCAGTAGTACCAAGATTTTAGCATTTATGATGACAAAAACACAATTTCTTACCGTTTATAAAAGCATGATACATGTGGTCAGAAATACAGTCAAATTATGTCCCCTCTACCAACGACCTCGGGTTATAGTTTAAAGGATTATTTTAGCATCACGGGAGATAGTTTTGACTAAATCCTGATGAAACATTATATATTTTATATCTATCGTTCTGTCATAGTCATCACATAAACTTTATTTGAGTGAACATTTTTATCATCTTTTGTCAGGCGCAGCTAAGTGCACGAACGGTAAAGATGTTTACCATGAAAGTGACAGCGCGAAACGGAAATGTCGTCAGAGACGATAGTGTGACGTCAGATGATGACGAGGAGGGAGGGAATGATTTAAAAATTCCATGGATAGAACACACTAATGACATGATCCTTGGCAGACAGCGCATAAGCAAATCGAGTGGGCGTTTGTGGATGTCAGGGATGCAAAAATCCTTAAAGCGCATGTCTGTAAGTGAATCATATGACCTTCAAGATGGCAGCTACACATCACGTGACCATGTCCATGCGAATTCACTGATCAAGGGAAATGGTCACGTGACTCATTTAGCAGCGGAGGAATCTGATGAATCGGATGATCTGGACGATGTTCGGAAGTATATTTTTGAAACTGAGGAGGGACTAGGGGAAGAAAATAGTGCGTCGAACAACAATAACAACGTGTCTAGTCGATATTCCGGATATGTTGTAGACGAATCTGACATCGAATTATGTGATGAACAATCTTCCTCGCTTGAAGACGAAAATAACATCTTGTATTGTAGCCATTTATAGAGTCTTATACAATGCCTATCACACAGTCATATTGCTGCCCCCACTTCTGCCCAAGTTATAATATTTATCTTGTACAAAACTATATATTTGCTGGAGGCAATTTCCCCGTCCCGTCTCAGCCAAGTCTTTTTTTAACAACTGATTAAAAAAATTGAGTCAACCGAGATTTTATCAGTACCGTGTATTAGGAAAATCATTAGCGTTTTATCCAAATGTTGAAAATATCGATAATTGATAAAGATACTTATATATTTAGGTATTAATTGAGTCATTTTGACTATCATCGATTTGAGCAAGATATGTATGTTTTCAATCAGTTCTTGGGTTTTTTCATGCATATTTTATGTACAATACATTGTGTGTGCATATATATATACACAATATTTATATACAAAAGCCATATATATATTGTTAATATTATGACAACACATTTCCGTGAATTTATATTTCACTTCAGCAGTCATAATTCAATTACATTACATACTATATTGTAGAGCGTTCATCCGAAAGTTTCTATTAATCTGCGGTAGCCGAAATCATTCACACTTGCTAGTATGAACAACAGATATTTTCATGGAATATTGTCACAGATGTTCAATTTATGTTAACTGAAAAGCTGAATTATATTTTTAAGCACCTGTGATATTTTATTTGAGTTATCGCCCCTACATTTACCAAAAAAGTCAGAAAGTATGTAAAGGTGTTTTTTAACCGTTTTTTTTATATACTTCAAAGTTTAATGAACATCTTGATTTCAATTTAAATGAATATTAGTGTACCAAGTGTTCTGAGTTTCGACGGTGGTGTTAATGAACCGATACATCAATACAGCCCATTAAATCTGGGTACTGAAATGTTGCATATTGCTGTGCCATTCACTTGTCAATCATTAATTGGTTGCAATTTTTCTATGCAAGTCTTATCACTTTTCACTGTCTTTTGTTACATAACGCCCCAACAGTTTTTTGAACGAATGTCTACTTAAAAATCATGGAATGAACGACGGATTATAAATGTTTGAGGTCAATAGATGGTTTTATGAACCCGATAATAAGATAATGACCGCGATAACGTTATTGAAATTACTTTTACATATATATAATGTATATCATTTAGTTAATGTGTTACTATTAGAGGCATCGAGCTTAACGTAACAAAACTTAAGATTAGAATGACATGGAAAGAACTTGCGTTTCGTAGGAAATCAGTCTTAGCGAAATATTTTTCCACTGATGGTCGCTGATGTTAACTAGTAAATCCTTCTATATAGAGCGAATTTACAGATATACGAATATACCAAGTTATCTGTAACTATGTGGTGGGCTTGGAGAGTTTTTTTTTTTTTTGGGGGGGGGGGGGGGGGGGGGGGGGGGCTGCGTGGGTGGAGGTTGAGGGTTGTCACAGAAATTTTTGCAGATGAAAAATTATATTAATTATGTTAAAAATTAAACCACAATTGTTATTCTTCAATAATCAAATGATGGTCTTCGTATATTGCATGGTAAAGGGTGCAATACCGTTATTACCTTACTTTGAAAACGCATTTTTTATGTACTGTGGCGAAAGTGTTGAAAATTTGATCATGGAACCACAGAGAATAAGACCATAATAATTTTTTTTTCTTTTTTCAGTTTTTCCACTCCTTTGGTTAATATTTTCATTCTTGTGTACAGAATTTTGTATATATTTTGAATATGTTACAAATATCTCTATATCCTTTCGTTTAAAAACTCCTTTATTATCAGTGTATCCGTTGGTGAAGGCAACTTAATACGATATAACTAATGTTTTCAGGATAAATAAATCTTATAAACTGAAAAATAGAAGTAAAATACCAAAAGATGTAATAATGTAAATCTTTTATCATTGTTATTATATTACTGTTTACCGATGACGTCACAAAGATAATTGATGACGTCACGTAGCCAATGATGACACATAAGCACACCGCATGAAGAAGTCGAAGAAAGTAGTTCTTACTTCGTCGTGACCTTGACACTTCGGGATAACCAAATCACAACGTAGACACTCTGGGTGACCTCGTCTCATCTTGACTCTGGGAGGACCGAGTCGAAGAACTTTCCGTAAACATCATTACATGTACATACATCTGCTATCTGGTGTGTATCATAAATATGTAAATATGTACAACGTGTATAATATACTCAAGATACACATTAATATTTTTAAAATGATCAATTTTGTAGTTATCTTTTTTGTTGACATTCTGTGCCAATGGAATACAAAGGTGTTTCCGTTACTTAGTTTCACCTAATAGTAAGAACAAGATATGAAAATTCCCAGCTATATCTTATTCCAAAATTGATCTGTTCGTTCTTAACTTGACAAGATAACGCTTAAACTAAATAAGACAACTTCCTAACATTGGACAAAAATACACACGAGCGAATTGCAGTTTTCAAGACTTGATCTGATAATTGATGTGGTGGTTCTTCGCTTGATTTTACAGTGCAACTCTTTTCAACGGAAAAATCAAATGTTATAACCCAGATCTCACCAACCTAGATAATCTGTCTAGAATCAAAAGCAGTATAAGTTAGGCAAAACATGATTCTTTAACAAATAAGCAAAATAGAGAAAGGAAAAAGTACAATAAAAATGTTTCTTAAGGGCAGAGGATCCCGTTTCCCTAATTTTGCACCTCCTTCAAAGCTTGAAGAGCCCCTTGTATTTCTACAGACTTTAACACTATTAAATGGTCCACGTACTTAAAAACTAGATAATGATCTTTTTACGGATATTTTCAACAATATATGTGATTCGAACTTTTGTTGGAATGAGGAATTGGAGAGAGTCTTGTAAAAACTGGTAATAACCTCATTAAACAACATAGGAGATGCCCGTCACGTACTGCCCAATGCCATTAGGGTAAAGTTTTCACGAATACGTCAGCACAGTCCGACCCATTCCACATATTCTTGGTATAGTAACAAATATTTGTTTTGTATAAGACAATTATCGTGGTCCGACATCTTGCTAGTTGCCTTTCATGAGAATATTAATAAAGGTTTTTCGGTATGCAAAATAACGGCTTCTGTTAATTAAGACATCAATGATATTAATGTTATGACCTCTTTTAAGGGATATGATATTTTCGTAATTTGTTGAAATAATTACTCGAATATTGATTTTGTCTTATATTCTTTTATAAGATAGTAAAATCTCATGGCCCTAAATGGAAACTTTGAAGATCAATATAACATTATCGCCATACAGCTCTCCTAGTATCGTCACCGTATCATGATCAGCTCAAATTCTGAAAAATGCTAGAATGCCATGATATGTCTTTACTTTTGATCAGTAAATAAATAAATAGATAAAAATTAAAAAGATAAATAAATAAACAAAAATAAATATTTGGATTTATTATAGTTCGAATCATGTACAATACTAGAAATTTCCCAACATCTAAAGACTTTTCGCTTGATGACTATTTGAAACATACTATCGACCTGTATTTGAAATGGCTGTGAGATTAGCTGTCATACATGATGAAAAAGTCCAGTTATCTGTGCATCTCCTTGCATAAATATACAGTTTGCAATACAAAGACGATTTACTCTACATTAAATAGGAAATTCTTTTATCAGAGTTACCTCCCCTCTGCTGTGATTTTCTGTCAAGCAGAGATCGGTCTCAGGGTAATTCTTTATCATTAGGCCCGATGATGAATTATTTAATACAAGATTAATTTAAAATTCCTAATTATTTATACACTCCAAAACTGGTTATGACAGTATTTGTCGATGCGCACGTGCCATTTGGTAACACAAGTTAAAAATGCTGTAAAAATCTTTCCTTTAAAATGCGGACCGAGGAATTCCCGATAGTTTTCAATTGACAAGAATAAATGACTCGCTATTTTTTTTTATTTTCTCTTAACGGAAAAACTACGGGAAACAAGACAAACTGACACGGAAGTAATACAAAAGTCAGCACTGCTCAGAAAATGGGTTCTGTCGATCTCCATTTTGTTATGTTTACAACTGTTTTCAAAGTTCATTTCATCAGGGTGAGGATCCCATGTGACTTTTTAGTATCGTACATGCCTAAAACAAAATGGCGGCGTCTGATTCAGGACGTTATACTGCGATATGTCAGAGAGTACCTGCAAAACTGATACCTTGATTACATTCGCGTTTCTAAGGAAGTGCTATTTTTACATGATACTCGATCAACTGGTTTAGACACACGGGATTCGCCAAGCTATCGTACACAATTTTCGTACCAATACGGGGATATCGTGTATCAGGAGTTTAGCTTCGATTTGCAGTTTGTGCATATCGACACATTCGATATATGAAATGATCTTCATGTCTCTATGTATAGCTTTAACATTGAAATAAAAGTCTACATATCCACAGCGTATCGTGAAATATTAACACTCCCGCGAACTAGAAGCGGTATTGAGTTGTCGTTCTTGACTACAACAAGCCGAATTCGTCGCCCGGACGGAGACACAGTTTCATGATATTCGTAAGTTCTTTCTCGTTTATTGTGAAGTAAGTGTACTGTTTTTAAATCAAGAAATTATTCAAAACTCATATGCGCTCATATTTTAGCATGCGAAGCTCTGGATTTGTCGTGACAAATACCGGGGTAAGAAATTGTTGGAATTCCCCGACTCTAAATTAGATTGAAATGACGACGTTTGCTTTATTCAAGCGATTTCATTGGTTGGTATAATAAGATGATGGATAATCGTCATACGTCATTTTAAAAGTAATATGCGATTGGCTGAGAAAAAGAAAAGTTATAAACGCGAAACCAGGGGAACCCCCTGCAAGGCGTACTCTCGGTGTACAGTCACGGACTATCTCCTGACTTCACGATAACCTTTTTTGACGGTGAAATTCCGTTTGCTTTTAAATTAGAAATTAATTGCACATTTTCATGAATACTTCAACTATAATTCGCCGAAAGTAATAGAGTTAATTTTTCATCGATAGCGAACAACGGACGGAAAACTCAACAAACTCGGGCTTTCATGCACAAGAAACTGTTCACTCGCCAAGAACAGTAACTCTGTATATATCTCAAAGGACAAGTATTTCCCGCTATGGGAAAATATATATATATATATATATATATATATATATATATATATATAAAACGTATATTTCAAACATCTTTAGTATATTTTCTCGGCTCCTTTTTTCAAGGACATTATATATATATATATATTTTTTTTTGTATGTAAACAAAGACAAGATAAGATTCCATACAGTACGGGGGAAAATCCGTATTCGCACACATACATGTATCAGAAATCATTGGATTCAGTTTCCTAACTCAAAACATACCTACACATGTACATGTATAAGTAATATTCAACCCAGTTGAACCCTTAACCATGCTGAAACGTGAAAGATTTCAAACATTGGTGGAATGAATATTTCGCTGCTATCCAATGCATAAGTAATCCACCATCATCTGACTGTCCAAATTGTACCAGTTGCGCTTTGTCAGTGATCTGCCATCATTGTTTTTGACTGTCACATTTTATCTATATTTATGAAGACACTGCCTGGACCTTTCCCAAACTTCTTATGTAGGCTCCATTTGGTCCCTTGTTGTGCTGGTTGGATTTTAAGACTGATAAGGAAACAAAATGAATGACGGGCTACCTTCATTTTCTAATTTTATACAATTATTCAAGGAGCAAACACAAAGAAAAGAAGAGAAAAGAAAAGAGCCAACTCTAAAAGACTTAACAGATTATCACCATGATCCCTCTGGAATCTCTTTCCCACGGCGTAAGGAATCGATAAAACTGCATAAAAAATAGCGATGAAAATTATAAAGGGCATCGTTTAAAATTGGTGACGTCAAATTGAAACCTGAAAAAGCCCAGGTTTTATATGTTCGATGATAAAGCAAAAGAGAATTGATCGAAACTGAGACAAGAAATTAAAAATGATTAAAATAAGAAAGGGCAATAACTCTTCTAAAATAATGTTGAATCTACCTACCATCAGTTCAGGGAAGCACGATTCGATGCCATGGTAGTAATGCCTTTCAAGTTTCAAAGAAAACCAAGGGAGGAGATCTCCGAACAAAACTGGTATGCAGAAAAACCAGGGAACTCCTCCAAAAATCATTGAATAAAAAAGATGTTCATGAAAACAAAATTTCATGTCATAGTTAAAACCTTCAATGTTTGAAAAATATTGACATAACATGGAGGATATACATGAAGAAAATCAAGATAATGTTATTTTGTCTTTAGATAGCAACATGTTTTCGATTCCGTACAGGAACACGGTATTTTATAAATCAACTGCTTACCTCGACCCCTAATTACAACACTACCAAAAGAGACAACTTGTTACCAAGCTTATTTCGTTTGATTAATTTTCTGGTCGTAACCAACGCGATTGTTATACATATAGCAATTATCTGTTTCGTTGATTCAGTTTAAGGCTGTGTATCGGTACCTGACGTGAAAAAACACAATACAGGTTTACAAGAAACATTTTACTTTGTTGCTGCGATTTAAGGTCATCTGTGTTCAATGCTTCTTAGTATGTCTGTGAGCTTCGTTGTTTGCAAACACCAGTTTAATAGGCACGTACTTTACTATACGGTCTCATAATCAATAATGATCGTTGCCAAGGTATGTACGATACTTAAATCAAAGTGTTTACGGTTATATTGATTTTTTTTTCCATTTAGGCAATTAAAGCTTTAATTAAAAGTTACAACTGTCAATATTTTTCACTCACCGAATGTTTTCGTATGAATGGATTGCAAATCGAAACCATACTTATTATAAAAAATATTTACATATTTAAGTGGAAAATGTGTAAGATACCCCGATAGAGTATCACTTTCAAAAGATGCAGGTTGATGAAAATTATCGGGAAGTCTTACAGTCATCTCATCGAGAAATATTCTATTTTTTGTGCGATATGAAACTTAATGTGTTTTATACTCGCCAGTTTGCCTGTTGGTTCCGTTGCTGTATACCTTGTTCTCATTCTAGAATGTGACTTTACATATTTGGATTGATGAATACAGACGGGACAGGTGTCATCGATGAAACAGAAGACGCTTACTCTTCCGGAACACATGTTCTAATTATCATTGTGATTGTTTTAGGAGTCTCCAGGCAAATATTTCTTTTGTTCATATTTTGCCAAAGTTTTATTGAACTGGGGTTTATGATTATGCTTATGTTAACATGCTGGTATTTTCTTGCTGTCTAGACAAGATCCGTTGCAATGTGAAACAGATACAGCAAAAACACTTGCCTCAATTAGACGTCGATATTTTGCTTTCTTGTGTACGACATTGAAATGTGACTTTGGACACTAATTGACACTAAATGATCTACTCTCTGTTCTACTTTGAAGTGTCTCGATGTAGCAATGATCTTCTTCCTGTTTACTTTGAAGTGTCTAGGTGTAGCAATGATCTACTTCCTCTTTACTTTGAAGTGTCTCGATGTAGCAATGATCTTCTTCCTGTTTACTTAGAAGTGTCTAGGTGTAGAAATGATCTACTCTCTGTTCTACTTTGAAGTGTCTAGGTGTAGAAATGATCTACTCCCTGTTTACGTTGAAGTGTCTCGATGTAGCAATGATCTTCTTCCTGTTTACTTTGAAGTGTCTCGATGTAGCAATGATCTTCTTCCTGTTTACGTTGAAATGTCTAGGTGTAGCAATGATCTTCTTCCTGTTTACGTTGAAATGTCTAGGTGTAGCAATGATCTTCTTCCTGTTTACGTTGAAGTGTCTAGGTGTAGCAATGATCTATTTCCTCTTTACTTTGAAGTGTCTCGATGTAGCAATGATCTTCTTCCTGTTTACTTTGAAGTGTCTAGGTGTAGCAATGATCTACTTCCTGTTTACTTTGAAGTGTCTCGATGTAGCAATGATCTTCTTCCTGTTTACTTTGAAGTGTCTAGGTGTAGCAATGATCTTCTTCCTGTTTACTTTAATGTGTATTGGTGTAGCAATAGTATACTTCCTGTTTTACTGTGAAGTGTCTCGATGTAGGAATTGTCAACTTCTTGGTTTGTTAGGAATGATCTTTCTGATGAAATGATCTACTTCTTGTTTACTTAGGAATGTCGCGTTACAGAAACCATCCATTTCCTATTCGCTGTAAAGAGCTACAGTGTGAGAATCGACTACTGGGGTGTGTTGAAAGCTTTTCTCCGTTATTTCTATCACAATTGTTAACACAACATACGTGCAATGAAATAATGTATTTCTTTCTCAAAAGTCTACAACATTTATTGCAGTACACTATTTTTCAACTTGACGATCATTGTTCGATTGACCTCTGCTATGTCCGTGGCCTACATGGTAATCTTATCTGGCTTGGTTGTTTCTTATCATCACAGGGACCCGACACATTCCAAAATGTGAAATTTCAATATTAATAGACATGTTTGTATAATATGAAACATAAGACCACCTTGAGACCCAAGCCCCTGTGCTTATCATTAGGTTGTCACACGGGGAGTGAACCCTAGTTGGAATATTCGGATTATTTCAATTCTGATTCAGCATGTTGCCTGTCATAGTAGTATTAGTAGCGAGTCTTGGGTACGCCTCGGCTATCGTCTGTACCCCAGAATTGTGTAAAGGGGTCGACAGGGAGACGCCTCTCAACTGTGCCGGTTCCATCATTAGAAATGGGGGATTTTGTGGATGCTCTGACGTTTGTGCGAAGGTATATTATGGTGAAGGTCATGAAATTGCTTTGTTAATTTATCAACAATCTAGTAGACAATCAAGATGAAAATATAGATACATATCTATTGTGATCTATCTATAAGTAATATATGTTCATTCCGGATTCGTCAGCTTTAGAATGTTGCCGACAATAAATTTAAATTGTCTGCATTTTGAAAAGATTTTTTATATCTTGGCAGCTGTGGTTGTTTCTACAACAGAAAATGGTTGAGGACTATAATGTTAAACGCTAATGCCAGAAATTTATGTATTTTTTTTTTTAAAAATTGGCTCATTTCTCCGTACTTATAAGACAGCTCCAGTAGAAACAAATGTGGTATACGACTTCTTTTCGATCGGACAAGCTTTCTTTATACAAGAGAATATATATATATATATATATAACAGAACCAATGGCAGTATAGCTTTTATCGTACACAATTATAGGATCATATAGACAACAAAAGACAAACTTCACTGGAGATGAGTTGGGCGAGTATAGAAGATGCACTTCTATGGAGATGGGGTAGTGTGTACAAAAGATTAACTTCTATGGAGATGGGGTAGTGTGTACAAAAGATTAACATCTATGGGGATGGAATGGGGTGTACAAAAGATTAACTTCTATGGGGATGGGGTAGGGTATACAAAAAATGCATTTCCATCGGGATTTGGGTGGGGGCATACAAAAGATGCACTTCTATGGAGATGGGGTAGTGTGTACAAAAGATTAACTTCTATGGAGATGGGGTAGTGTGTACAAAAGATTAACTTCTATGGGGATGGAATGGGGTGTACAAAAGATTAACTTCTATGGGGATGGGGTAGGGTATACAAAAATTGCATTTCCATCGGGATTTGGGTGGGGGCATACAAAAGATGCACTTCTATGGAGATGGGGTAGTGTGTACAAAAGATTAACTTCTATGGAGATGGGGTAGTGTGTACAAAAGATTAACTTCTATGGAGATGGGGTAGTGTGTACAAAAGATTAACTTCTATGGGGATGGGATGGGGCATACAAAAATTGCATTTCAATGGGGATTTGGGTGGGGGCATACAAAAGATGCACTTCCGGAGATACCAGTAATGTTCTTCGGGATAAATGTAAGATTGTTATAAAGAAAGTATGTTCAATAATGCGTGTCCTTAAAGAAACTGAGATGCAACGTAAAAGAAATACGTGACGTACTTCCGGAAGACTTGAGGGTACAAATCACTCATTGGCTGAGAGACACTACTAAACAGATGTAGAAAACGAGACATTGCAGAATCTAGAGTACCGATGTACTCTATGGAGAAATATAGTTGCTATAATTACTATCAAGAATACTATTATAACGATGAGGTACTTCCGGAAGAATGTAAATAACAAATTATGAACTTCCGGCGTGAGAAAAATAAGGCAACACTTCATGTTTACCGGGCAATGCCCAGTGTAGGGAGACGTTTCCTGTTTACAGGATGATGTCTGTTATAGGGAGACACTTTCTGTTTATCGAGAGATGTTCGGTATAGGGAGACACTCGCTGTTTATCGATAGACGTTCGGTATAGGGACATAGTTTCGTGATTATAAGGCAACACTTCCTGTTTACAGGATGATGTCTGTTATAGGGAGACACTTGCTGTTTATCGAGAGACGTTCAGTATAGGGACATAGTTTCATGGTTATAAGGAACTACTCGTTTGTGTTGTACTTAATCCTGAATGTCAAATAAAAGTGACATTACCTGTTTATACGAAAATCGATCATATTTCAAGTTATTCTCTATCTATAGGTAGAGGGGGAGGCCTGTCAAGCGACTTATATGTTTGGAATTATTCCTGCCGGTCGCTGTGACGACGGACTGGAATGCGTGCATGATACTACGGAACACTCCAGATTGGGTGTTGGAAGTTGCCAGAGAAAGCAAGGTACTCTTAACTCGAATTATCTTTTGAAATGTCATGCTGTATTTCAGTTGCTTTAGTACGTGAGTCAATATTCAGATGTAACCGATTATTGAACTGACCAATAGTTTTATAACTTGAACGTTTTCTGGTATCGATATATTTAATACCGTTCTACCATCGCAGAGTTACTTCCTTATCAGAACGATAAGACTGAAAACCAATGTGGACTACAAATGATTTCATACTCACTCCATACGTCAGCATCGACAACTACCACGTGTCAGCTGTCGTAATCCAGTGCCAGTAATGCTGAATATCAAATTTTGTCGGATTTTTTTCGACAGAATACAGATGAACTCCTGATGAAAATCGCCAAGGATGGTGGGAAAGCAGTTTCAATCGTGTTGAATGTTTACTGAGCTGAGCTGGTTAGACTTCCTAGTGTATAGTTTACCGTGTGATTACCTTAAGGAATATTATTGTTAAAATAGATCTTTCGTCTTAAACTATCTTACCATTCTATCCCTAATTATTGTGTTTGCATCATATTTGCTCATGAAAAGATCTTTTCTAAAGGAGGGCCGCGATAACCTATTCGGTTAGAGCGCGGTGTATGTAACTACGGGTGAAGATCCGTGATGCATGGTTTCTGTCTCTCAGAGAGCTGAGAAACGGACCGGTTTATGTTGATGTGGAATGCATTTGACTTTTCAGGACGTCAAGCGCAGGCCTCCCGTATGTTGTTCAATGTAAATGGCCCAGGCTGGTCACAGGAAGATAATCCTAACAAACATATATCTTTTGCACGTTTTGAGCAGAATATACTGGTGTGAAATTTACAATTGTTTAACCAAAATGGAACGATTGCAACTTTTCTGATTTTGGTTATAGATTCCGTCCGGTCATTTGAGGGTCACGCGCAGACGACGTGCGAGCAGATGCGCGCAGTTCAGCAGATTTCTTTTGTTATCTATAGCGGACAATGGATGGCCAAATGTGACGCTATGGGAAACTTCGAACCAGAGCAATGTGACAATGAAAGTAGGTCATCTAGAAAGTTTCACCTGGCCGCCTTGAGATTAGAATGTATATCTGAAGATTTTCCACTTGAACACTCCCTTTCTTGATAGTAATCTTTTGATATGAACTACGTCAAATATAAACTTGGTTGTTTTTCGGCTAGAAACTTCTATATAACAAATACTTGGACAGTTACAACTATTTAACATTGGACAGAACGTGTTATTAGATCTGTAAGAGATAACAGTTATGAATTATTATTTTTAGAAATCTTGATATATGTATAAATAACAGAGGTAGTCAAAAATAATGAACACTCTTTGTCTTCGAAACGAGGTTTTATTCGTCAAATTGTTAACAAGTTTAAGACATGAAGACTTTTCCCTCTAAAAAATCAAATTCAAATTGTATGTCGACGTTTGTGAAGAATTGCCTTCCTTTCTCTTCTGTTCAGTCCATTAACTTCTCAACATTTCATATTTTCCCAGATAAATGTTTCTGTGTTGACCAAAAGTCAGGACATCTGTTGTCTGAGAGACAGCTAGGTCACGTGGCCTGTTCTGGGTCTGCTTTCATTGACAGCCAAGGTAAGACCAGCAATTACTATAGATCAATATTAATAATTCATGAAATTCTGGTTAAAAATAAGGAAAAAACCAAAACATCATCTTAAAAACATACCACTGTGTTCACCGCCACATGTTCAGACGTTTTCCATCGTGTATATCGCACGTGTGGAGACGTATCCAACCGTATACACCGCACGTGTGAAGACGTATCCAACCGTGTACACTACCACGTGTGGAGACGTATCCAACCGTGTACACTACCACGTGTGGAGACGTATCCAACCGTGTACACTACTACGTGTGGAGACGTATCCAACCGTGTACACTACCACGTGTGGAGACGTATCCAACCGTGTACACTACTACGTGTGGAGACATATCCAACCGTGTACACTACCACGTGTGGAAACGTATCCAACCGTGTACACTACCACGTGTGGCGACTTTTCCATCGTGCACAACGCCGCCATATGTTAAGATGTTTTCCCTCCATGAACACAACAGAGTATGAAGACACTTTCCGCATAGAACACCGCCACATATATAGACATTTCCAAACGTAAACAAAACCACGTGTTCAAGAGCTTTTCACAGTGTACACCACCACGAGTTCAGAAGCTTTTCATCGTGTACACCGCCACGTGTTCAGACGCTTTTCACCGTGTACACCGCCACGTGTTTAGACGCTTTTCACCGTGTACACCGCCACGTGTTCAGACGCTTTTCACCGTGTACATCGCCACGTGTTCAGAAGATTTCCACCGTGTACACCGCCAAGTTCGGAGATATTTACCACCGTGTACACTGACACATAGTCAGACGCTTCCCACCTTGTACACCACCCACATGTTTAGACGCTAACTGGTAGGTTGTACATCATTGTATGTTTGGACACGTGAACGTCGACACGTGGTGTAATGGGGGTCTTCTCTTGTTGTGGGAGGTTTCTTGTGAACTATAACTGAAGCGTACAAAAAAGCACGTGCAAATAAAAGAAGAAATTTACGGAGGACGAAATCATAAAAAAAAGAGTTTCTGGTTGACAACATCCTCGTCGAGTATGGTGGTAAGATCTTCCAACAGACTATTAGCATACCTATGGGAACCAACTGAGTCCCTCTGTTGCCTGACTTGTTTTTGTTTTCATACGAGGCTGAATTTATTGAAGAGCTTATCTTAACAAGGCACAAAATCCTCGCAAAGTCGTTTAATTTCACTTTCAGATATATTGATGACGTCTTGTCTCTAAATACCAATAAATTTATTAGCCACGTTCTTTGTAAATACCCACCAGACTTTCTATATCAGCCGCTAATCTCGATTTTTTCCTTCAACGAAACCAACAAGGACAAGCTGTATGAAAAACGTGATAATTTCGGTTTCCCTATTGTGACTTTTCCCATGGTATTTACATGTCGCAGATGATTCGCTATTCAAGGATATGTTCCCATTGTCACAATTTTCTTGCAAGGAGTCGCAAACTGAAGGACAAACTCGTGGTTTCAAAAAATTGCAGGTTGTAAAAAATTATGGCAAGTTTTATGGTCGTCATAGCGATTTCAATGAAAAGTATCATCTTTGTATTATATGACGTGTTTCATGCTCGTTAGTTTGCCTGTCGGTAGCTTTGTTGTATACCTTGCTCTCATTCGAGAAAGTGACGTTGCTTACTTGGATTGATCAGGTTGACATGGTTGGTGTCGTCAATAAAGCAGAAGACGCTTACTCTTCCTGAACACATGGTCTTATTCTAGTTTCTTTTTTCAGGAGTCTCCGTGTAAATCGTTCATTTGTTCATATTTTGTCCAAGTTTTATTGAATCTGAGTTAGGATTATGCTGACACGTTAGTATTTTCTTGATATTTTTCATCTCTTTGTTTACTAGCACATGTGGAAGTCGTTTACATGGATTTAGGGTGGGAAGAGGGATGTTGTGTATGTTCATACCGCTTTGGGGTGGGAAGAGTGGTGTTTGTGTGTGTTCACAAGGATTTGGGGTAGAAAGAGGGGCGTTTGTGTGTTTGCTTGGATTTGAGGTGGGGAGAGGGGTGTTTGTGCGTGTTAACACGGATTTTGGGTGTGAAGACGGTGTTTATGCTGGTTAACACGGATTGCTTGATTTGTCCTTTAGACATTTTCCTACTTTGTAGTGTTGACAAAATAACAAATATTTTCATATTTCTACAATTATCACAGTTCCTTTGGCCTCCCGCGATGTGGCTAAACGTGCCGCTACGCCATGTCAACTAGCCAGATCGCACGCAATGTTGTCGATGGTTGTTTACGACGGTCAGTGGTTCCCTAACTGTGACGCCCAGGGAAAATATCTCCCTCGACAGTGTGACAATCAACGTAAGTCACCTGATCAACGTAATCTATTGAGATAAATCAAAAATAAGAAAAGCATACACTAAATATGGAGTTGTCAAAGGTGCCTATCCTTAAGTCGTGTTTCCTGTTTACATATCTGATTCAATGATTAGTCTGTGTTAAAGGATGTTTGTGTGCACACATTTTTGCATGTAGTCTTTTTTGTTTGTTTTTATTAAAGTGTTTTGTTTTTATAACTATTTATATATTCACGTGTGCCTTTTTAATTTAGCGTCTGTTCATTTAACACTTTTTTCATCTATACTTTGTTTTGGTTTTACAATTGTACAAATGTATGTGCTACGCCTGTTTGTTGTATATATCTGTTTTATATAGGTTTTCATCACTTTGCTATTACAAATTGTTGTTTTTACATTTGTTGGTTTTACACCTGCCCTCTTTGTATTAACTATCTATTTTTACGTTGTTTTTTGTGTGTGCGTGTTTTTTTTTTATTTTTGCATTTCAGTTTAGTAGATTACCTGTGGGCAAATCTGTCTTCCTTGTCAGTTGTTTATTTTGCACCTGTTTGTATTCCTCTGTTTGTTTTCAGACTAGCTTGTTTTCCTTTATACATCTAATCATTTTACACCTACTTGTGTCTACAGATAAGTGTTTCTGTGTGGACACCCTGAGCGGTAAGCTGCTGACTGATAGAGAACTCGGCGACGTACAATGCTAAGCGTGAAATCGATCGCGAATATTTCGTCCAAGTCGAATGTTTATTGTAAATAAAACGAATGGTCAAATACTTCCTATTTTAATTTATGTCTTTCAAAATAATTTCACACTGTTGTGAAGTTTGGGATGGATGCTCTCTCAGTGATGCAGACAAACAAGAAAAAAACTTAGAATCTGCTAGAATCATCACTGGTTTACCATCTTATACCAGTAGAAATTCACTCTATACTGAAAGTGGTCTAGAACCACTATCAGACAAACGCTCTAGGAGAAAATTATAGCTTTTCTACAAAATAGGTAACAATTTCACTCCTGATTTTCTGTCCTCTCTATTGTCCCTTTAAATATCAGAAAACTCTTAATATAACCTCCGTAATGCACAAAATTACTCTTTACCAAATTTCCCGTCTACTATCCGACTTTGGAACCAACGTGAACAAAGTGTTTCTTACTCTATCTTTTAAACTTCTCTTCGAACCACTACAATAGTTCCAAATTATTATTTGATTGGTAGTAGTAAGGCTAATATACCGTACGCGAGGTTAAGAAGTAAACCCTGTACCTTAAACAATGACCTTTTCAGTTCCAATCTTATAGATTTCCGTTGCTGTCAATGTGGACATCCTGTTGAAGATAACTTACCACTATTTTTTTGTAATTATGCGGACCAGAGAACAATTCTATACCGAGAACTAAATAATTCTATCCCTCTAGACCTACAGTTACTTCTATATGGTAACATTAACTACTTGTATGAAGATAATGTAAAATATATCAAATCACTCAGCAATATATACTTAACTCAAATAGATTTTGATCTATCTCCATCCCACTCTCTCTCTCTGTAAAATTTAAAGGTACACTTACACTATAAAAATGATTGGTCTCTCTTTGCTCCGGCGCACAAGTGGTGATGTTCACTTGAAGGACCCGTATAACGTGAGAAAGTGAAATAAGCACGGGATGTGACGAACTTTAGAAAAGGTTGCAAGTTTTGAAAAGTGTTATGTTTTTCCACTAGTGTTGTTCATTGTAGGAGAGACCGATTTACAAGAAATTAATTAAATTCTCTCTCTCTCTCTCTTTCTCTCTCTCTGTCTCTCTCTCTTCGCATAATAGTTGTATTTAAACACGTCGTCTTGTCTGGTTAATATGTATTTTGTCAAACTTTATAGGAAAGGGCTTATGTAAGTTAGAAAGCTTGTGTCCAAACCTACCTGCATTTTTGATACCAATAAAATATGTTTGAATCAAAATAATTTCACACATGCTTTCTTTTCACCAATCTTTTTGTACTAGTAGTATGATAAACTATTTTACATTAAGACATTTGGCCATGTCGTTTTCTAATAGGTTAGTTTTTGAAAGATTATTTTACACAAAATAATTTATTGAAAGGTTATTTCACACAAAGTGATTTTGCACAAGACTATTTTACACAAAGTAATTTTGAGCAAACCTATTTTACCAAAAGCCAAAAAAACAGAATCCTTCAGTTTTATTGAGAGTAACCATGGAACTTCTCTTGAGAGCTTAAACGCTTTTGACTGATATTCTCAAAATATGTTTAAAACGCTTTGTTTTTGTTTCTTGAAAGGTATTTGATGTTTAGCCATATTTGTACGCAGCAATTCGATTTACTGAACAACTTTTATGTCTACTTTTTTTCGTTTCTCCTCTAACAGCTAACACATGATGTTAAAATTTTCAAAAAGAAAGTTTCATACAATATAGATATATATCTATATGGTGCTTCCTAAAATTATCCCTCTGGTTTTTCAATAATTGAATAGTCGAAGATTTGAATATTTCGTTTCGTATCTTATGTAGATGCGGCATTAATGGCAAACCGAGAAAATTACATTTACCGAAATTATTTTCAAGAACGAGGTGGGGTTATCCCATTAGATGTAGCAATTTATATCGCCCTCCGAGCTATCTCATCCAAGGACGCCCTTCCATTAGTTAGGCGACACCGATCTTATCACCATGGAATAGGATAGTTCAATATAAAAGCTGATTTCTTCGTCCACAATCTGTTGTAATCATCAAGACGAGGTCACATCCTTATCTCTGGCATGCTTGAATCAAATGATAAGCTTTTACCTATCAGTATGCTGTCCTGACTTTAAAACGCATAAACGCTTGTATAACTAGTGTCTGCCTTTTAACAATCTTAGCATCGGCTAGTAGTGATGTATTACATTTTAGTATGGACAATTATTAGCGCCGCGACCGCCTTAAGCTGCGGTCCTGAAACTTGTGCCGTTGTAGGGCCTTCTCTCCCATTACATTGTAAAGGGACGATTATCAAAAACGGTGGGTTTTGCGGTTGTTACGACGTGTGCGCCAAGGTACGTAAAAAAGCCTACGGAAACAAAAAGCAAACAGAATGGTAATTTCATTCTCTTCCATTTAAAAAAAAAATCTTTGAACAACAATTATTTTACATCCACTTTTAAATCAGCGGACAAGAGCATATCGTGAACTACTGATACGAAAAAGATGTAAAAACATACTTCAAAGTCAAAAAGTCAGTAGTCTGGAATCGACATCCGAAACGATTTGATTTGCAATTATACAACGGTAAGAATCTACACGGCCTATCCGCGACTGTTGAGGCAACGTGTCTGCAGCGCCGCCATCTTGGGAAGGTATTGCCGCTAGCACCAAACCATAGCTACACAGTGGGCCTCATGCTAGAAATCTCACTGAAAAAAAGCTCGGTCACTAACCCACGTATCAACACAAATACTTCATTTTAAAGCTGGGAAAAAGTTCTATGCTGTAGTCATCTTAAAGTAGGGTTATCAGGAATCAAAATTAAAGAAAAATATAACGGAAATATTTAAAATGTAAAAATTATTGAAAAAAAAATACTCCTCATTTATTTTGCATAGGATAATTTTAACAATAGACAGACATAAAATAACCCAACCCACCGAAAAAAAATCCAATAAAATAGAACAATTAAGATATAAAAAATAGCCTTTTATTCAAATTTATCCTTTTTTAAAATATAAATAAATAACTTGATTGTGGCAATGAAAAAAAGCTATATAGAAGCGACCATGTGGACCTATGGACCTAGTCCCTGGACAGGTGTTCACCCCAAAAATGAATTTATTTTTTAATGGCTTTCATATCAAAGTGCAATTAATTATATATCAGTTTCATTCATGCGACTGTCTTTACTGAACCTCATTTTAAGGGGGATTGGGGTAAGGAGCAATATACCCCAGGATTTAGGCACTTAATTTGTAGAGTGAATAATATGTGTGAATACATAATGTCAATCTATTAAAAGTTATATCAGCATGCAGAACACTGAATGCAAAGTACCACACAGCAGCTAACAGCCTCTGACCATGAGATGCATTAATTGATATCATATATAGTCACATGCAGTGTGACTGTGGGAGTCTTAGGAAAAACATGAAACTAAGAGACATTTTCATTCACATTTCAATACATAACAATATGCAGGGTGAATCTGCAAAATGACACAAGAAAATCAAGTGCACAATAAAAGTATGCCTTGATATTTATATGAGTAATTTATAAATAACATAATCCCACTGGCTACTTTCTTGAATTTTGGTGCATTAGGAATGCGGAGGCCACAGCAAAACAATACAATCGGATCTCGCTTGAACATTCACATACATATGCAGAGAAGGTAAACCTATAATCCAATAACTGTTTGAAAAATTGATGCAACAACAATCACATCATTCAAGACAATAATGAAAACAAGTACAGTGTAACCTTGCTTGAAGTGCAAACTACTTTATCTTAAGTCCCATGTTGAACCAGACAAATACAAAGAATACACTCTCTACATATGCAGCAATGATACCATAAACCAGTCAACAAATCATGTCTTCTGTCTATATGTTCTGTATTCATCAGTTATAAGCCCATGTATTGTACAAGTTACAGGCTAGTTGCTTATTTTGTGACCAAAATGAAACTACTGTCAAACACAAAAGGTAACTGTAATCAATCACACTACTTTGCACACGTCAGTGCACAACATCATGTTACAGTGAAATATAAAAAAATACTACTCCCTACATCAGGCGAATGACCATCTCTTAGTATAGCTGGTCAAATACTTCATGATAGTATTTCAAAAAGCCCTTTCATCATTACTTGAAACACTGCCTGTTACAGTGACATCTACTACTCAGAACTATATATATGTTTACAAGTCAAAATGAATAGGCCCTATCATACAAAGGTAAATCGGATAAGGCACACATTCTGTAGAACATCAGTTTGTACATGATAATAACTTGACAGCTTGAACAATACCTGCTCAAGATGGCGGATCGCTAGACACGTCACGGGCGCCGTCGTGCGGCATCTAGGGTTAAATATCTATGATCTTCAATACATATTTGGGAATAATAAAAAAAATATTATTGACTTGGCTTTCCCTTATAATGGCAGTGTTATCTTTCAAATTCCCGATCTTTGCTTCCTAATTTCTAGTTACCTTAATCCAAGTTTTTATCTCTTTTATAAAGATAACAAATTTGCAATTTGAAAGATCACAAGATGTTTTTTTATTTCCGGTTTAGCAAGCTGGCGAATCATGCCAAGCTCAACCAGGACTTGACGGGGTTTCCAGATACGGCACGTGCGAACCAGGTCTGATATGTGTCCCTCACGGTGAGATGGTCAGTCTAGGGTATGGCCGCTGCCATATTCCCCGAGAACGTAAGTATTAGAAAATATGGATCTTAATGTCATACAGATCAAGGAAGACAGCTCGTGATATTTCCCCAGAACGATCTAGCTTTATTTTTCGCGAGATGCTTGTTTTGTTATGAATTGAAACTACAAACCGAAGAATTTTCAATGAGTTAAAGATTATGGTATCGAAATGTTGTTGCAGCTGAAAGTGAAATCAATAAGGAGTTGGTTTTACCTTCCTTGAACATTTTCTTTTCTTTATTACTAGCCCGATGGTTGACCTCAATGATGACCCACAATACCCCGTGCGAACAGATGAGGCGCGCGCGACTGCTTTCCATGGTCGTCTGGCAGGGTCAGTGGACACCCGTGTGTGACGCCCTTGGTAACTTCGTTGTGCACCAATGCGACAACATAGGTAGGATTGCTCTTTCCGTACATATTGGCAGCTTGTCTGATAGGCGAAAAACTTTCCAGAACTGTTGTTCGGAAACTCTGATAAACAGAATCTAAAGTTGTGGTTTTCTTTTGAGTGCTGAAATATTTCTCCTGTTGTGTTGACATCGCCTTAAAGTTACAAGTAGTTTCAACATGCACTAGGTAGCGACAAAAACAATACTAAGATGAGTAAATCGGAGATCTCGGTCATAAATAAGACAGAGAGTTGTCGTTCCTTACTTTCATTCTTTAAAGCTGTTGCAGGCGCTTTTAGATCTCAACACAAAGTGGCTGGTGTTTCTTAGGAATCTGAAAGAGATCTCGGTCAGTCCTTTACAGACGAAGTTCAGCGAGTCCCATGGTTTTCATTGAGGTATCCAACAGGTACTCTAAGGAGCACCAACCCGCAAGAAAATGATTAAATGAAGGAACCTCTATTTCTGTGGAAAAAAACAAATTGTAAGCCATGGATATCAGTTTTGCTTAGCAAAATTTAGAAATCTGATTTAGTGTTATACTTAATTACTCTAATAGTGGAAATAATGACCACTAATCGACAAGAAGGTGTCCGATGGTAACATTTCTTGTTTGGATTTGAACAATAGATTTTTTGATTGGTTGATCTAGGGGAAGTAAAATTTACAATAAAGAATTAAAATCAAAATATTACATATTTAGATACTAAAGCTATTCAGATAAAGATGTGTCTTAGGAGATTGCACACGTTTCATGTTTATAAATACTCGTGTCAATTGACCTGCATTCACAAAGGCACTGACCACAGCTGACATTCAGAATGGACATTAGCTCAAACACATCGTTATGTATGCACATTTATCTTGATCAAACAAGAAAATACCAGCAAAAAAACGACAGCTCATAAAAATTTCATGGTGTCTTTTTGTGTTTTGTTATCGATAACATAGTCCTTTTTTGTATGAATAGAAGAAACATTTTACCGCCATGAAAATAAATTAAGGCCAACGATGCTCGGAGGCTTTTATAAACAGATTGGGATTTCTTCCAAAATGGAGTTATCGCCCTTCTTACTAATTTTCCGGTATCGGAAAACCACGCGAATTTAAAAAAAAATATATAAAACCCTACTGGAAATACCTGGGCCTACTTTTTAATGTGTCGATAAATTACACTGACAACCAATGAGAATCATTTGCGCCTTTCTGGTGAGGACCTAACCTTTTTGTTCAGGTTTACCGAGAAATCCCGTGTGATGGATGTAGCAAAATGATTCTTTATGATAACTATGATGTATATTGATTTTAAGGCCAGTGTTTTTGTGTGGATACTCAAAGTGGGAAGCTTCTGACTAGCAAGACACTTGGAGCCGTGGATTGTAGTAGTCAACAGCTTATCAACCAAAAGTCAACTGATACAATGGTACAGAGAAAGGCACTTGCTGGTTAGTATTGTTAATAAAACTAGGTCACAATGACCCAGAATCTAACCGATGCGTCTGTATTATCAATATAAGATTGAACAAAAGACACACAAGTAAATAGCGCCTTTTAATAATTTAGAGTTATAAATTTTCTGTTGTACTTTTACTTTTTAGCCCGTCTGCTAGATTTTGACTTGACGTGTGAAATGGACAGACAAACTCGTCTTATGAATATGGCAGTTTGGAAGGGACAATGGATACCAAAGTGCGATTCTCATGGAAATTACCTTCCACACCAATGCGACAATGAGGGTGAGTGCATGGGTATCTATATCGTCCCATTGGAAATCTTTAAAAGATTTATAATCGTCAGAATTCGAATCATTTGAATGTTTTAATTAACGCTGTTTTACATAAAAATCTGAAACAATCACCTTAATGACAACGAATAATAGAGCTCTATTGCAATACAAAATACTTATGCTTCTGTTGCATATTAAAAGGTTTTCATGTTGAAACTTCATAATTGTGAAATGTCAAATACGCATTACTTATATAGAAAAGAAATTTACGAATTTCTTTGACAGGACAATGTTTCTGTGTTGACACTACGCGAGGCACACTACTTACGGAGAAATCCAGCAAACCGGTGGATTGTACGGGAAATTAGATGAAAGATTTGTTGGTAGCGATCGTTATTGTTTACCATTAATAAAAATAACAACATTCAAGTTTAGTTGTATGGTTGTTTATATATTACATGAGTTGATTTAAAGCAGTGTTTATATATCTGTCTGTGTTATTACTATGAAAATCTACGAAAAAAGTTTTTTAGTTGCATATTCAATATATGGGCAAATGGAGTCAGAATTCTTGCATACCTTTTTTCAATGAGAGCAAAACAAAATTAAGCTGACAAACATGCCACACCCACAGAGTGCTCCGAGTTAGTGGTTGAAACATGCAGTGAATGACGGACTCGGCTTAATTGAACAGGAAACCTTTAAATATCTTCTATAGATAGGATTACATAAGTTTTCATTTTATAAGAGACATTATGAAACGAATGTTCGAAGATTTTGCGTGGTTTTTGCAAGCCTTAGGCGAGCAAAAATTTAAAATTCGAGACAGGTTTCATATATAAAGTTACGTTTTGACAGGTTTTAAAGTCATATTATGGATGACAAAACCGAACGGAATGAGCCATTTTCTATAGCCACGACGTGCAGCATTGTTCATCTAATCACATCACAAATCAACTTCTAACGCTTCAGGATATACTACATTAGTGACATATACGCTAGAATATTAAAGGGCGAGACAACTGATAACAGCTGGCGGATCATCTACTTAAAAGTTTTGAATATCAGGAAAATGAACACAATCATCGATCGTAGATACAGATACGGGTTTCTCGGATCAACACGACGTAGGATATAGCATCTTAATCGTTCGTTGGAACCCGCTACGAAAAAAAGGGACACTTTCCGAATACATGACACAGTGCACAATTAAACTGGACATTGATTTGGTTTTTTCGAGTAATATAAGAAAAATCTGTGGAAATTTAATACCCGTTTAAAATCAATTTATTATTTATAATTATAAATGGTATTAAATAAATTCGTTAAATCTAATGACGGGGCATCCTTGAACACGTCCCCATTCCAATGTAACCTCGTGGCGAATCCCGCTATATATGACGTCACTACTGTCAATACTGCCACGTGCTAAATTCAAGGGCCCTAATTTTAATAATTTCCATGAATGACCAGTTTTATTGATCGTTTCTCGTGACACTACATTTTTTATTAATCGAGGAGATTACCTGCTCAATAATCATTTGTAAAATTAATGTGTTTCCATTTCATCTACCTGATTCTGTGTGACAAACACACACAAGTGGGTTGTTTCGCTTCGGAGGCTGAAAGGAACGTTTTCGGTCTTTCCGCAATGTTTACAAACGTCAAGCTACACTGAATTCCTCCGCCAGGTGTGAAGTATTCTATCATATCCATTTCTGTAACTGCATTCAACTGTAAAACAACGTGACAGAACTGTAACTAAATGTCATACATTTTCGGTGAATTACTCGTCAATTAATATAATGTCATTTTATAGAACTATATCTTTTCGCGTAGTGATATATATTTGCACAGCAGTTTGTCATGTTTTAGAATACACACTCTGAAACAGCCTGGTTCAGCGCTTGGCCGTGCCGATGGGCCCTCACATAACGAAACAACATTCATTTGTTGTTATTTTCGTGTCTATGCTATGCAGCACATACGCAGGTAAGGTTATATTCCATTCTTTTGTCGTGTCATTTTTGTAATAATTTGTCAACTGTATTCTGCTGTTTGCACTGATGTGATTTACCGAGTACAGTAACACTTGTCTTATCTGCAGGTTCGGAAAATGGCGCAGGTATCAATTCTGATGGATTGTATATTGTGAGACAACAGGTTTCGAATAATGGATACGATCCTAGCAGTCTGTTCGCATTGTCACCAGGTGTCGACAAAACACGTGTATCACCCTTCAATTGGCTAAAAATTGGGATTAATAAAAATGTTCAGTCGGTTAAAATGAAAACTGGATGGAAGGAAGAGTTCCATGAGAGGATAAAGCGGTCGTTAGGAAAAGTGAAAACCAGACCGATGGATAAATTTGACATGTCAACCACAATACCTGCACAATACATTGTGGTTGTGGTGAGTAGTTTGATAATTATTAATTATTCCTTTGTGGCATTTATATGTATGTCTCTATAGTGATAATAGAGCTGAATAGAACAAGTATGTAATTGAATATTCATTATCAATTCATTAGCCTAGGTAAATTTGGTGTGAAGCATACCATAATACAACAATCTGAGAGTTGGTAGTCATCGAAGCTGAAAACATTAATTTATTTATATATCAGATTGTCAGGAAATTAAGAATGTGTCTGTTATATATTTGTGTCACCTTGACAGCCTGTCAATCAATACATTGGTCTGATATGACACATAAAGTGATGCTGACTGGACTTGGACCTGGACTGGTCAGTGTCATTAAACATTAATGGTTAATAACCCTTTTAAGTTTTTGTTTTTGCAGTTTTTTGAAAGTCATGGCCCACATATTTTTTGATCAACCACTATTTATATATAAAGATGTATATTTGTGCCACAATAGCCCAGTTGATTAAAGGATTGGTATACGTAATCGGTCAGTGCTGATTTGGCTGTGTCCTTGCAAGGCAATAAAATTTACCCTGATTGCTAAGGATAACATGTGACGGGCCTCTTGTTTGTTGTTCATTTCAGTAGTAACCAGCTTCTCTTAGGAAATCCCACCTCTAAATGACCTGGCTGTTCACAAGGCAATAAATTCATCTAACTCAGCCTAAAAATGCATACTTGTCCACATGCTAGTGCAAGACATGACTCTGAAAGACAACTAATACCTCTTCAAAATACATATAACTTAATGATAATTTACAAGATATTTTTGTGTATAATTTTATCAGGGCTGTTTTGGGTATAGAAATATTGTCCATTTGTACCCAAATTCAAGACCAGACCTCGCTCCTGGGCAATATATAAAAATCAACAATCTGTGAAGTTTGCTAAGTTGATATTAGTATTGTATTCTCTTCCTTGTAAAATTGACCCTTTGGTTACTGTAAGACGATATACAATACATACAATGAGTACGACAGTATCAATTCAGAAGTTTTTGATAAGTGGTCTCTGACAAACTTATTAGCATAACTGCACTTGCACATCAAGAAGTACGAGTTATAGAAGATAACCTAGCATTATCATCTGTGTTATGTGTTCAACAATCTATTTTGCACGACCTTCCCGGTACAGAGGTCAAGTGATAAGACATTTGGCAGGTGATTGATGGGCAGCTAGGTTGACACAATGACTCCATGCCTTTTCACATCTATTTAGGGAATCAAATTGTGGATGTTAAGGTGAGAGGCACAACCTCATTCAATCAACCTTAGAGGTGCAGTAGTCTTTTGGTAGGAGGTTGAGTTGGTGATGGAAGTGCCACTAGGTCGACTCTTGGTGGAGAAATGTCACAATGACCCTCTACCTTTTACGTCTGTTTATGGAGTCAAACCATGGATATCGGGGTGAAAGGCGAGTGTATTTCGCATTTCATCCTTGTTAATTGCAAAAGCTTTAGTTACATAGTCAATTTGATACCAGAAATGAGAACACAATTAATGTTTTTAAAAAGATGAATAAAAAAAAGATCTTTTGGAAAATTAACAGCTGAAATCAGAAAGCCTTATATGTGTGAACACTTGTAACTACATATATTCATAATGAACTGGTAATAGGGATTTTGTATTTAGGTTTTTGTTCCAGAATTGATCAATTTTGATTTCTTCATGAATTTAATATCCTGTCCTTTGATTAGTATGTGCCCATTTAACAACTGCTGTTATATACCTGTATTATAATTTTAGCTTTATAGTCTAAGCCTGACAGCTTTCATAAATTATGGCTTTATAGTCTCAGCCTGTCAGCTTTCATAAATTATAGCTTTATCGTCCACTTACGGCCTGTCAGCTTTCATAAATTATAGCTTATAGTCCACTCACAGCCTGTCAGCTTTCATAAATTATAGCTTATAGTCCACTCACGGCCTGTCAGCTTTCATAAATTATAGCTTATAGTATGCTCATGGCCTGTCAGCTTTCATAAATTATAGCTTTATAGTCCACTCATGGCCTGTCAGCTTTTAAAATCATGGCTTTATAGGCAACTCTCAGCCTGTCAGCTTTCATAAATTATAGCTTTATAGTCCAGTTTCAGCCTGTCAGCTTTCATAAATTATAGCTTTATAGCCCACTCATGGCCTGTCAGGTTTCATAAATTATAGCTTTATAGTTCACTCACGGCCTGTCAGCTTTCATAAATTATACATTTGTAGTCCACATTTAGCCTGTCAGTTTCATAAAACAAATTGCTTCAGAGAAGCTCATGGACATGTTAATAACACTTCACAAGACCTGGCCCCTTTTACAGCTGTCTTGTACTAGGTGGTTCATGCTTACCCTAGACCTGTGTTAAGCAAAGTCTCCCTCCAATTAATGTGACTTATAATGTCTAGTACATCGTGTAGCCAAGATTGACAATGCAAAGCTGAATGGCTGCTGAAAATGGTGGACTCTGGGAGACTTGCCCCAATGGGAAATTCCTAGAGGAAGTAAAAAATAATCTGAAAGACTCGCGCAATTTTCAGGAGAGTTGACAGCTATGCAAGCTTAAGAGGCTAAAACAAATCAAAGCATGCATCTGAGTCTTCTTGTGATACAGGCAATACAAAAAACGTGACCAGTTAAGTGGTAGGAAGATGTTTCAATGTAATTGATCAACAAATCGTTTAATCTCGACTGATGTAATGGTCACTGTAATTTTACAAAATCATCTCTGTCTTGATGCTACTCTCTTATGTATTAGCAAAAAAAAATTGATTTTTTTCTGATATTAAAAACACCAACACTTTTCATTCTTATACAAATTCTAGCTAATAATTGAGATATTTGAGGTATCCAAGAACAAATATCACTGCAACTATTGAAGAATGCATTAATTTTCTCTTAATATTGAAGAATAAAAGTCAGCTTATTATGTAATTAACTACATCAAAATCCATAGAACATTTTAACTAATAACTGATTATTGATTTTACCCGATAAGGTATATGGCTAAATACTTGGAAACATGACAAAGCTACGCAGTCGGTCGGCAAGGAACGCATTTATAATTTCATGATAAGTCTTGCTGGATTTTATGTTGATACTTCAGAAATCACGATTAGAGACAGAAATAGAAAATGTTTTGACATTATGATCATTGATTTTTGGATTAACTTTGAAGTAGGAGCATTATAATCTCTGTTTGTGATATCGGTTTTGTAATTCTCAGTCAGGGCAGCAATGTTTTTATGGTTTTTTTTTTTTTTTTTGTGTGTATGTACAAAGATTTACACATTGCTATCATAGTACAATAAAACATGTCTTTAATAAACATGCTTATGTTGAAAGGCTATAACATAGTGTTGTTCATTCCCGAACAATTGCCCTATCATTTGTGTGTAAATTTCAAAATGTATAATGAATTTCACATAGCGAATCATTGTCTACAACGAAGCAGCTTCTAGGTCCACTCAGGTAAATATTAATTCTAATTAGTGACCGTATAACGTAGTGGCCCTCAGGCATTCGTCACGTCACAGTGACACCATCACTCTGACACAGTAGCATGTGTCTTGCATACGTATATGACTATTAATACTTGTGTTTAGGTAAGTATCAAACACAGGTAAGGTAATCGTAAATAAAATAATTGTCTTTTAATACATATCTCAGGTATTCTTTTGTAGTTAGACTTCAGAGTTATAAATTCTTTTTATCAAATAATAAAACAGCAAATACTATTTCAGTTGTTGTTAGTTTTGAAATGGCTCCATCACCTCCGTCTAAGCATCAAATTATCAATGAAGTTGGCAACGGGACCATACAGAAAAAGAAAAATTGCAGCGAAGTTTGAAATACTGGCATAAACTCTCAGAAGAATTTAAAACAGTACCATAAAACCCACATAATGTGTGCACCTATGTAATGTATGCAGGTACATTTATAAACACTTCGTCACGATTTTGCATGATATTGACTCGGACAGAGTGCATTAAAACAGTACTTATCTTATTTATTATTGTTGTTCATAAATAAATTGTCAAATCCTTTTTGTGTCAGTTTGGAGTTCCAGATAATCCCGAAAATCAATGATGGCGGCCTCACAGAATCTTTGATTTTTCCATAAAAAAAAAACAAACTTCAAAATCCTTTAGCTATGTAATGTACACACACCCCACTTTGGACATTTATTTTCTTTAAAAAATGGGCATATCATGTGGGTTTTTTATGGTACTTGGCCCTCAGTTCTCCGCAAAAAAGGAAAAGGCATCAGGGTGCTATGTATGAAACAGTTGAATAGGCTCTATTTCAATGGCTTTTAGAAAAAAGAAAACAGAATAATATTGCGTTGTCTGGGCCTGTTTTATTGGCAAAATCTGAGGAATTCACAAAACAACTCCAACACTGGCTGGTTGGAATGTTTACATATAAAACGTAATATTAAGTTTAGTGGTGACTATTGAAGCAAAAAACGCTACCAAAGTAGTATTGAGTAATAAAATACTGTAAAGTGTGAAGTGACAGTTGCGAAACTATCACAATAGTTTTTTATACATTTAAGATATGTTTTCTAACCCAGAAACAAAGCTAGGTCACTAACCATTTAAATGTATTAGACTACTCAATTAAGCAAATGCTAAAACTGAAAAGTATTTACAATTTTCATGCAAGCAAGTAGGTTGCACACTGTTATTCATTTTACTTTATTGTATTTTCAGAATATTTATTCCATATATAAACGTGCTATTCTGCGGTATTGGTTGTAAATTCATACACAGCTTGATTCCAGACTCTCATGAATGCCTTAGTTTTACAATAGATCTAGCGTATTTCCTCTTTATTTCAAACTTGTTTTATGTTTTAAAACCTGATTAATTAATTCGACAGTAAGCTTGACACTCTTCATACATTGTTGGTAGATCCGTGTCATGAGATATAGTACTGATCTAGTAAATTAGGATAATACAGCTGTTTACCTAATGAAGGTACCTGTAATTTCACACAAACT